CATGATTTGGCTTGTCGGAATGATGTCACATGACGAAATAAGCCTTTCAGAATGACAGCACATCCGTTGATCGGGCTTATCTGGTACTGGTTTTTACCTTTCCTTAGGGTCCATTACTTGTCTTAGCTATCTACATACGTTATTCTCAGTGATACATTCATTTTCTTTACACTAGTTTCTTTTTAGCTTCAGCGTTTGAAAGGTGTTATTTAATGTTCTCTTAGGTTGTTCCTACATTTTGGCGACTATTTTCAGGGAAAAACTGGTTCATAACATGTAAGGTTTAGTGAAAGTCCCTAATGAACATCTATCCAGTTCTCCTTAGTCCCTCTGCTATAAAATGTCTTTCAAAACTGACCCATTTAAAGATCCGAGACTCCAAACATTGTTGTGCGCAGGATACTTTAGTTTGATCATTTTATCCTACGGGAGGTAAAATTGGGATGTTAATACCTTTGAACTCTGCCTCAGTAAAGACCCAGTTTAAATGAAAGCATTTCTCGAATTTCTCTGTGTAATTGCTGAGTTGACTTCTTAGAAATCTCCCCTATTATTTGTGAGCCCTGTGAAGTTCATTTTCGGATGATGAGAGCCTCCCAATATTACAACTTGCGTCTTGGGAGAGCGAAACGGTTCGACCTTTCCGGACCCTGGTTTTCGTCCCTGATGTCATCAATAGGCTATCCACAGGTAACCACAACAACATACCTTGAGATACCAAGCAATCTTATTGATCAACAGATTTCAGTATCAGTTAGGAAAGGACAGGAGTCTTGATGACCTGTGCTAGTCCTGGAAAGGACGGTCTCTAGATTGATCCAACTTTTGTTTGAAAGCGTTGACAGATGGGGCTTCAATCACATGTGGAGTTAATGAATTTCACTCGTTGATAATTCGATGGGAAAGTTGATAGTCAGCTGACAGGTGATTTGTTTCGGGCTTGTGAACTCTTCGGAATGTCCTCGTAAATCCTATGTTTTGGAAGGTAAAAAAAAGTGGGAACATATCAGGTGCAAATTTATCACTGAGTTATTGGAAAACAGCAATTAAGGCACCTCTAGTTCTTCGATATGACAAAAGGTATAGGTTTGGTATAGCCAGTCGAACGAAATACAGGAGCTTCGCTATCCCAAGAATCAGTTTAGTTGCTGTTCTCTGAACATTTTCCAAAAACTCAGTGTCTTTTTTAGCAGGAGCTAGCCGCTTGTACGCAGCGTTCAAATTTAGGACTCGTGAACACTGTATACAAAGTCAAAAACGTTTCAGCGACGACATGGCTAAAGACCCTACGTATTGACCATAAATTTCTAAAACATTTGGCGGCTATTGCATGGCAGTGTGTAGTAGTCTTTAAGTCTCAGCTAACAATGACTCCTAAGTCATTGTGTGTCCGGGCGACAGGTAGCTCAGTGTTATTCATCGTGTGTGTATCTGTACCTTGATGACCGATATGCATCACAACACACTTGGAAGTACTTATCGGCAACTGCCAGGTTTTAGACCATTCGGATAATTTCTTCAGGTCATTTTGGAGTCCTAAGCTATAACCCTTACAACGTATAGTTTTCTATATCTTGACATCGTCAGCATACAGCAAGACCGATGATGATAGGAGACGAGGAGGGTCATTCGCATACAAGAGGAATAACACTAGCCATTAAACTGTACCCGGAGGCAATCCTCTGAGCACAGTTTCCCAGCTAGAAAAATTTGCGTTCACCCGTACTCTCTGTTGGCGTCCAACTGAGAGGTCTTATACACATCATTAGATTGTCTCCGATTCCGACATTTCTTAACTTATGTAAAAGCTGGTTGTGCGGAACTTCGCCAGAAGCTTTTCTGAAATCAATGTAGGCTACGTCTTCAGGTAACTTTCGGTCCTTAGTAGGGCACCAGCTTTCACGAGCGACTAATAACTTAGTGAGACAAGAACAACCTATTCCGAAGCCGTGCTGCTTCTCCGAAAGGATCCGTTTTTCATCGAGGAACCTAAGCTGCTCATTCCGAATAATCTTTTCTCAAAGTTTAATATCAACGCTAGTTAGACTAACGGGTCTGTAATTCTCAGGTTTATGTTTCGTACCTGTTTTGAAGACAGGATTTACTATGGCGTTCTTCCCGTCATCTCGTAGTCGACCCTGGGTTACGGGTAGATTAAAGCATATACTTGAAGGGTTCGCAACGAAGTTGGATAATTCCTTCAATAGCCTAAGGTGCAGTTCATCGGGCACTGTGGATTTGCCTATGTCAAGCTTATTTAGCAGACCAAAGATATCGAGTTCTTCAATGGTCACGCTGTCCAGTGTTTGTTTGAGGGATTGCTATGGACTGACGGGAAGAACGTTTCCACGGTATATACTTGGGCTTTACCAAAGTCCTCCTCCACTAATGATGAAGCAGTACTGTCTTCCCATAGTGCAGGAATATTTACTCTTCTTATTATCCTTTGGTTTATATAGGAATACAAGCGTTTAGGACATTCTATGAATTCCTTGACAATTTTCTCTTCGCACAATCGTCTAGACCTACGGAGGGTCAAGGCACAGGTATTGCGAGCCTCCCAATATTAGGATTTTGTGTCGTCAGTCACCACTAACCTAAATCATACCCACATTTTTCTTCTCTTAAGAAGGATGAGAACCTCCCTACTGAACCACGGTGGAGAGTTTCTCATCTCCTTAAGTGTAGTCCAAAAGATGTGGGGTACAGTAAGGAAATGCGTCCTATGCCGTTTCAATTGAGGGTTCTGACTCTACTGTCCAATCTACTGACGACGGTGAGTGTGTAATGTCTTGTATATCTGCTTTCCAACCGTTAGGTCTGGATTGAGCTGATGCGTGCTTGTGCTTGTACCAGATGAGCTCTTCTAATAATATGTAAAGAGTAGTCTTGTTACGTAACAAAAGATCAAAACAATATAATATACTTAGCGAGGAAAAATTCCACTGTCATTTTAAATAGCGCGCGTTGTGTGTGAAATTTTCATGGTATTATGTAGGCTCTTCCGTCAAACTAGAGCTAATTATTACAAGTTATCAATTGTTGTTTCAAACAAACATTTTATTATTTCTTTGAAATTTGAAAAAAAATTAAGGATAACCTCGACTGTTATTGGCTGACTAATCGCGCGTTCTCTGTAATTTTTTCGCCGGGATACTATTCAAAATTTTCAGGTTCTGTCGGTGGTACGATTTGCTTGTCCTTCTGAGTCGGTGTCTTACCTGTAAATTGCTTTTTCACGATGGAGAGCATGATCGTTGATTATAACTTTGATTAATCTTGAATGATAGCTTTTATTATCAAAAAAGAACAATATATTGGTGTATTTTAAAAGACGTAGCATCGTTGTGCATTGAGTACACGCTGACCCTTTTTTAGATTAGAATTATTGCTGTTCCTTCTAGAAACAATTCCCACTTATCCTTAAGAAATTCTGTCACTTTTCACATGTCCTTCACCGCGTTTCCCATGCAGTGATACTATATTTTATTGGACAAACCAATGCAAATTTAAAGCATAATTTATTCATCCATATGATTACACAACATTTATGCATTACAGCTTGTGTTAGTTCGTGATGAAAATCCTTTTTAGTTCCTGACCCTAAATTCTATCTTTAAATCCCCGTTTTCCCCTATACTCATTCATAACCCTCCTTTGACCCTAGTAAGTAGGTGCGTTGTCTCAAGGTCTCTTCAGCGTCGCTGAAATGTCCATTAATTATAAAGCCACCTCCCATGCTACTAGGTGTAAACGTTATTGAGATGTTTTTGGCTCTAAAGTTCCTCAACGGTTTGATGTGGTTATTACGAGAACAATTGGTCAGCTGTGTAGGGTTCTCCCTCTAGCATTACGATGGATAATACTCAGTCCTCCGTTTTACACTACCGTAGATTTCCAGTTTAGTGGTAGATCATATAGTCTGTGTTTTTATTTTTTTCCATCTGAAACTGACTCGGAAACCTCTAAAATACCAAAGAACCAAAACAAAATATTCTACGTTCCGATATATTTTTGTCAGTAAATCACAAATCACTAGGAGTTAGTACTGCAGCACTTGCGATTGGCATGTCATTTTGATTCCTTCATAATGATATTAGACCTTCGTAAGACCGCGAGTCTCAAGGATTACTATTGGTTAAATGATTTATCTGTAATAAATGAATTTATACACTCACATCCAGCATTCGGTTTGTCATACTTAATGCTCCATAACAATTAACACTAGTTTAAATAGGAGTTCACTGTTGGTTCTAAGTTCGTCGTGTTCCACTCTGGGGAGCTTAGAAATTCGTTTGTGTCCTGACAGCAGTTTCTTGGGACTACGGAGAAATTACCGTTGGACTGATTTTAAAATAAAGGTCTTGTTGTGTGCAGTGGATTTACCATCTTGCCTCTTGTTTTTTCAACATGTACTTACGAACACATGTTCATTCTTTGGAATGAGCGAGCCGGTAATGGTTGTGGCAAATTTATTACTTTGAATAAATGCGCAAATAGTTGGTGGTCTTGGGTGTTTTCAAGAGTATACTCAGTCTCACTATGATTGCTGCTACATTTTTTCCATTTCTTTACCACTCACCTTTTTTAAAATCAATCTGTTTGCGAAAATGTTGTAGGTGGACTTGAAATAACGCATATGTCCCAGGTTTTTTGTGTTTGTGCTTGTAAGTTGGGATCTTTGTAATCACATCTCGCTGTCATAGTTATTTTTTCGAACAGATGCACTTAGTGCCAACCTCATCCTTATTCATTGACACAAATGAGGGTGATTGTATATTTTATGATTTGACCAATTCAGGCAGAAACCACATTTATCTCTTCGTTCGAGACTTCTAAAAACATCCTTTTCCTGTTGTGTTCGGAAAGCACATTGTTATTGCTATTACTAGCGTAACCTATAATTTGTGGCATTTTTATTAGATTTCGTGATATAAATCTTTCTGTGATTTCATTTTAGGTACTTCTGTTGACTTATCCATAGTAAGGTATCGATTATAATGGAAGCTTTCCTTACTGGATTCAAACAAAAGCCCCAAGATAGCAAACGACGCATAAAAAGTCAAAAACACATCCCTTGGGTTGAAAAATAGTTAGTTTTTCTCTATAAAAAGCTAATCGTTGTAGTCGACCAAAAACAATAGATGAAGTAGCTTATCAAACAGAAGTTGTTAGCGTTCTTCAAAGGTGTATTGAAGGATCTGATGTACGTCTGTTTTGGCTTTTACATTTTCTGTTTAGTTGCCAAATTTACTGTTTTATGGACCACCAGGAACTGGAAAAACGTCTTTGATTTTGGCTTTAGCTCGTCAACTTTTTGGGTAAGATATTTATTCACATTTCCGATAGGTTGAACTTAGTACTGAACATAGGACATCCATGGTAGTAATTAGCCTGGTTCTTTATTTCGACATTATTACGCCTCATTATTTTGCTGAGATTAAAAGTTGTAACTAATATGGACATAATTGTTATTGTGGAGTGGTTAAAAGCTAATGCATTGAGTATGTTTTATTTCACTTTTGAAATTTCTAAGAGTTTATGCAATATTCTTGTTACTTTGCTAAATACCAAGTCCTTAAAACCATTTGTTTTATTTCGTTTTTAACTGTTTGGGAAAGTGATTGTAACGATTTTTCTATGATCCACGTAAACCAATAGTGACTGACCAGTTGTAGTCCTTAACATTGATAACTGGAAGATTCGAACACAAACGAAATAAAATTCATCGCCGTTGCGTGGATCAATAGCTATCTGGACTCAGTGGTTAAGTGGATGATGCGTTGGGTTTCTAAAGTGAAAGGCACTGGGTTTGAGTTTCGGAGTAGACGCTAACGTGGATGCAGGCACATCCAACCGACATGTCACAAATAGGATCAGTCATACCTTATGGATTCAACTGCTAATCATTATCCAAACATTTGTTTTAGCTTTACATTGTTAACTGATATGCAATTATTAGTAGTTATCCAGGCCAAATACTTCGTGTTGTATATCTACAGCATCGGGTTTATGAATCGTTTCCTACCAACCTAATGGTAAGAAAACTTTTTAAATTTCTCGTTAGCGATAGCAATATTAAGATGATAAGAACAAGAGTGATGCTAGTAAAATCACTTACTAGTTTCATTCTTTATGTTCTACCAAATTCTAATCTTCTGAATTCTTCATGTCCCTTTCTTTTTTCTCTTTCCAAATTTATTTCACTGGATTATACTCTTTGAATAACATCTTCAAACCCTAATCTATCCGATTACTGCTTATACTCTTACCGCCTCTATCACTACGGGATTTGAATCGACAACTGCATCTCTGTACTAATGTGGTATGGCAACTTGAACTGATGTACGTACGTACGAAGTTCTACGTTGTTACTGACTGACTGACTTCATCACATAGGTTGTTTACAAAGCGAAGATGTTCTCATCAAAATAATAAGCGACTACGGTAATAATTTACATTTAATATTGTCCTAAATGTTCGAACTCTCTTATATTTGTGTATTATTTGAGGGTATTAATAAACCAATTATCATGTTGTAAACAAATCACCTTATAATCGTCCAATCTAACTCCAATTTCGATGAACGTGTAAATATGCTATGAACATAAATCTTCCATTTAACTCCGTATATATCTTTATATCACTGAGCCGATATTCAACGGTGTTCATGTCTAACTTCACTTGATTCATGATCTTGCACAACCGTTTTTTTCTTTTCGACATAATCGTATTTTCTCCAAGTCTCAAGTATTTTATCCTTTGTTTTCTCTGATGAACTATCTTCTTTTCTTTTCAAGCCCTTTGTATTCAGAACGTGTTTTAGAATTGAATGCGAGCGATGAACGTGGGATCAGTGTTATTCGAGAAAAAGTGAAGGCTTTTGCTCACATCGCTGTTAGTAGTAGTACTAATAGCTCTGGTTCAAGTTCAACTAATATACCACCATATAAATTAATAATCTTAGATGAAGCTGATTCTATGACAGCACCTGCACAAGTATATTTCCTTTTTTTCTGTGCGTATTTCAATTCTATATAATTGTATCATTTCCCTGTTTGTTTTCATTCTAGTTAGAAACAAACTAATTGATTGGTTAATACTCAATCAAAACAAATACATCGAATTAATGGATAATGTTTAACTGAGTTTGCAGGACCAATTTCGGTTATATAATAATGCATTTCGTACAAGCTTAAGAACGTGTAGCTACACGAACTTATGGGAAATTTACAAAAAATTGACGAAATATCCTAATTTTAAGAGGTTAAATATGTATTAAAAATTATCAGACGATAACTTGGACCACCACTCAATATTTTAAATGAATCTTTCAGATATATTGCTTAAGGAAATACTATCTTTTACCGGGCTTTTGGTTTTATATCCGAAATGTTTGTAACGGTTTTCCAAAAAATATCTATTGATGTATTATTTGGTTGTATTTCTAATTTTCTTATATTTTCAACTAGGCAATATCAGTCAGTCGTAATCCATGTAGGGTGTGTCACAGATTTGCTACAATTGAAGTTATAATAGTTCATTCTCTAATATGTGTATGTGTGTATATTACATAACGCTTATCAGTTTATCTGTCCTCCAATTATTTAGGCTGCTCTACGTCGTACAATGGAGACTGAAATGAGAACTACACGATTTTGTTTAACTTGTAATTATGTTACACGAATTATTGAACCAATCACAAGTCGATGTGCAAAGTTTAGATTTCGTCCATTGGATAATGAAATTGCTCGTGCTCGTTTACGTCACATTGCCGATGCAGAAAATTTATCCATTACTAATGAGGTAGGTTGTGCTGAGAATTATATATTGTACCAAAATATAATGTTGAATAAAGCCATTAATAACATATATATATATATATATATATATATATATATATATATATGCCCCGATCGAAGCTGCTACCTTGACGCGGTGGTCGGGCTTGCCTATCGTGATGACCCAACCGAGCTATATTGGCTGGAACATATGTTCCTGCAGGTTCTACCATGCCAGGCAGGTCGATTGGCGAACGGTAAGACTAAAAGCAGCAACTCAAGGTCTGAGGGCGAAGTCGTACTGCTGACTGTAGAGAGGTGTGACAGCAGTAAGGTGTTTCCCTCGGACAACCAGCATGACAGCGATGCTGCCTTCCCACAAGGAGGGATGGGGTTAGAAAAGGTCGACCCTAAAAATGCACACCTCACCTTACCTCACGGATTTCCGTCTCCGGCGGTAAGGCCCTTTGAAGAACGGAGCTAACACGTCAAAAACCTCCCACAAAAAGGCCGTGCGCGACCGGCCTCAAGCAGTTGTCCCTTGGGCTCTGCGGTCACGCTCCCAGGTCGTCAAGACCAACACTAATCCAATTTCCTTTTCAGGTTCCTCAAGAAATACCCTTCCACGGTGTGGGCAGCCGGGAAGTGACATCAGCCCTCATACCCGTAACAGCACAAGAGACCAAGGTGGTCACATTCAAATCCTTCCTACACCTCCTAATACCTCTCTTATCTCCCGACTAACCCTCCTCACGTCTCTTTATCACCTCGCACCGCTAGGGCAAACGATTCGAGTACGTGGAACGCCATTCCTGGTCTCCTGAAACCACGCTCTAAACTACACGTAGGAGCTTTTAACGTACGAACACTTGCCAAATAGGACAGCAGGCTTCCTTAGCTAGGACTTTAGAATCTCGCGCCATCGATGTGTGCTGCGTCTCCGAAACGCGCATACAGGATCCGAGTAGCGTCATTCATTTGACCTCACCATGCCAAAATAAAGAACCGACTCGATTTACGCTTCGTGTATCTGGAAGCCCTGATTCTGCTTCCCGTGGCCTCGCCGGCGTAGGTATAGCATTGAGTCCTAGGGCAGAACTAGCTCTCTTAGAGTGGATCCCAGTAGACAGTCGTTTGTGCGCTGTCCGACTGAACGGAACAGTAAGAATCCGGAAAGATAGGGACACTCGTCGTTGCCTCTTCGTCGTCTCTGCCTATTCTCTCACTGACTGCAGCTCAGATGATGTAAAAGATGAGTTTTACAGAAAGCTTTCGGACCTTCTCCGAAAAGCTAGGCGCTCGGATGTAGTAATAGTGGCCGGTGACTTTAATGCTCAAGTAGGTAAACTAAGCGATAGGGAAAGACACCTAGGTGGATCTTATGGTGTCGTGGCTCAAAGAACAGATAATGGCGACCGTCTGTTACAGCTATGCTCAGATAACCGCCTGTTCCTTGAAAATACTAACTTTAAGCATAAGCAAAAACATCTTTTAACATGGAGACCCCCTAATTCGTCCCAACGTTGGACCCAAATAGATCACATCGCTATCAGCCACCGATGGAGGGGCTCGATAGAAGACTGTCGCTCATTCTGGAGCACATGCCTAGATTCAGATCATGCTCTAGTGCGAGCGCGTATTTTCTTGCGTCTTACTGGACGTAGGAAAGACGCTGCAAGGAAACTTCTTAGGGGCCTACTTAATGATAGTCAAGCTAAGAGTATATTTCAGGAACAACTAGGAAAACAGTTAGGCAGCCATGTATGTGATGCCCACCCCGATGCAGCATGGAATGATATCCGAAAAGCTGTGGAAACAGCAGTGATATCTGCTAGTAAGGTAAACCAGAAGGTTAGGGAGCAACACTGGATCTCAGCAGCATCTATCGCACTGATAGATGCTCGGAAACTCATTCCACCTGGCTCTGAACATAATGAAGAGCGGAGTCAGCTTAAGCGCAAGCTGACAAGAAGTCTACGCAATGATCGCGAACAGTGGTGGGTAGCGAAAGCAAGAGAGATGGAAAAGGCAGCGGCAATAGGTAATAGCAGACAATTGTTTAGACTCGTTAAGGAAACCGGAATTAGGAACCCGACCGTTAGCGAAACAATCTCAGAGAAAGATGGACATATTATTCATTCTCAATCCAGGAGATTGGATCGATGGGCAGAACACTTTAGGGATCAGTTCAACTGGCCTTCAGCCACACTTCGGTTTCCCACGATCTCCAGTCAACCTGAATGGCAAGTTAATGTAGTCCTCCGTCCCTTTACGAAGTTGAAAAAGCCATAGGAAATCTGAAACGAGGGAGAGCAGCAGGCCCTGACAGGTTTACTCCTGAGATTTTTAAGGATGGTGGTCCAGTATTAGCAATGAGATTAACCGAGGTCTTAGGTAGAATTTGGGAACTGGACGTAATCCCATCTGACTGGTCTCAATCACTGATTGTGCCAGTCTATAAGAAAGGACAAAAGTCCTCTTGTGACAATCACAGAGGAATCAGTTTGACTAATATAGTATCTAAAATATTAGCTTCAATAATACTTCGACGCCTAACTAAAGCTCGTGAAGAGCAGACTAGAGAAAACCAGGCTGGTTTTCGACCTGGACGTGGTTGTATAGATCAGATATTCACACTACGTCAGGTTCTAGAACACAGACACACATTCAGACGCCCCACAATGGTAGTATTTCTCGACCTTAAGGCGGCATTCGACTCTTTGATCGTGAGGTTCTATGGCAGTGTTTGTCACTGAAAGGAGTACCAAAGAAGTACATTAACCTTATACAGGCTCTCTACTCGAACACAACTGGTAGAGTGAGAGCTTATGGCGAACTGTCATCAGAATTGATTACCTCAAGTGGTGTTCGTCAGGGCTGTCCACTCTCCCCATTCTTGTTCAACTTTGTCATTGACGTACTTTTAGAGATAACACTCTCCTCATCTAAATTTCCAGGGGTTGAACTTCTACCAGGAGGTTCACTTGTTGACTTAGAATATGCAGATGACATAGTTTTATTTGGTGAAGACGCTGACAAAATGCAGAGTCTTCTGACCACTCTAAGCAACAATGCAAGCATGTTCGGGATGCGATTCTCTCCCTCGAAATGCAAAATGTTGCTTCAGGATTGGGTTACATCGACACCCGAACTAGTGATAGGGAGTGAAGTAGTTGAGTGTGTCGACCGCTTCACTTATCTTGGAAGTCTCATCAGCCCTTGTGGTTGGTGTGTGACGAAATCTCAGCACGGATACAGAAGGCTCGACTAGCTTTTGCCAACTTGCGTCATTTATGGCGTAGGCGAGATATCCGTCTATCAACCAAAGGACGTGTTTACTGCGCAGCAGTTCGTTCCGTCCTACTTTATGGCAGTGAAACATGGCCGGTAAGAGTAGAGGATATCCGTAGGTTACTAGTATTTGATCATAGGTGTCTTCGAAATATTGCTCGTATATCATGGGACCATCGAGTAAGTAATGCAGTTGTTAGGAAACGGGTACTAGGTAAGGATGGCAAATCAATTGATGACGTAGTGAAACTTCATCAGTTGACTGGCTGGGACACGTGTTACGTATGCCCAACGACCGACTGCCTCGACGTGCTATGTTCAGTGGTATAGGAGTAGGTTGGAAGAAAGCTAGGGGCGGCCAAACCAAAACATGGCACAAGTCCATGAAGTCACTGACAAGTGGACTGAGTCATGTTGGTAGGTGTAGACTACCTGGTTGGGGACCGCGAGATGATAGCAACCGATGGTTAGAGACCCTGAATGACATGGCTCAAAATCGTTCGCAATGGCGCAGGTGCATCCACTCTCTGTGTTCTCCCAAACTCTAATCTTCTGAATTCTTCATGTCCCTTTTCCCTCTTTCCAAATTTCTTTCACTGGATTATACTCTTTAAATAACATCTCCAAACCCTAATCTTCCCGATTACTGCTTATACTCTTATACCTCTACCACTACGGGATTTGAATCGACCACTGCATCTCTGTGCTAATGTGGTGTGGCAACTCGAACTGATGTACGTACGTACGAAGTTCTACTTTGTTACTGACTGACTGATATATATATGCACCACACAATAAAAATGAGGTTGTAGAGACTGGGAAAGTAAATTGAGTATAATAAGAAATAAGGATAACAATGAATATAAATTAGTGTATGGGAGAGAAATAATAATAATAATAGTAATAATTGGAGAAAGGGCTCGGTTGGATAAAATACAAACAAAAAGAATTCTCTCAGTTAAGAAATTTAATCACTTTTGTGAATGAAGTTAAAGAAAGTTACAGCAGGATCACCACTGGCTCCTGTTCTGAACCATTTCTGACAAAGTCTCAACCCACTATATCGCACCGTCTCTAAGACTCCAACCAGGTAGTCGTGAAGGTCTCACTGAAGTCAGTCCCGTACAACTTCCTTTCATACCACGACACCATGTCATACACTGACCACCTCCGCTTTTTCCAACCAGTCCCAATGTCGGCAAATGATGCACGACGTGGCGTTCACTGGAAAATAAGACATGTCCAAGTCATTGAAGTCAATGTTTTAAGATAGTGACACCAATTGAATTATCGTCATTGTGCCCGAACACACGATGCCGAACCTCTGCATTATTGATGTGGTGTTGCCACTGGATATCAGCAATCCTTCGGAGACAACGAGAATCAAACATGGAGAATCGCTTGACGTCCTTAACTAGAAGAGGCCAGGTTTCACAAGCATGGAGTAAAACTCTTCTCACCGACGCGTTGCAGACCCGACCTTTTACAACCAGATTAACATCATGAAGACACTAAAGATGGCCCAAATTGGCATAAGCCACTCTGGCCTTCACTATACGTGAATCAATCTCATCACTCACGCCACCACCGGCATTTGTGCAGCTACCCAGATACACGAAATTCTTGACTACTAACTGCCCACTACCAAGAGTAGGTGCAGACACATGTTTCTGTCAGTCTTATAGATGTACTTTGCACCTAGACCGTTCATATCACATGCTTTACCTACGGACACTGATTGCCAATGGATTAAGTGCGGACTGCACGATTTGAATACCACTGGACGGTAAGACAATATCACCCACACGCTCAAGGTTAAAAAGTTTTTTTTCAGTCAACAGATCCACACCAACATTACCTACATCCATCAGAGCTGTTCCCAGAACGTCATCAATGGCAAAGTTGGAGAGGAATGGTGAGATTGGACAACCCTGTCCTCTCAACTATCGAGAGATGCATAACCTGCTCCCCTTTCTGGATATATTAGTTGGTAGAAGAGGTGATGGTCCTATCAAATTTTCTTTATGTAGAAAGCCAACATGGACAAGAAGATTCCTTAGTTTCCATAGTCACCGTTAAGTCCAGCACAATCGTAGGGTTTATAAACGGTTTAGTTACTAGGATCAATCGTATTTACATTGAGGGGAAAGGAAATCTCTTGACCGAAACATTGATGAATATAGGTTAATTATTAAGGTTTATGTACCGATGGAAAAGGAACGTTATGATGAGACCTACTATACTTCTGGTACCCAAACAACTAATCAATATTACCGTACCATTTAGGCGCGAATCATATAGTCTTATGTTGAAATGAATACTTAAATTAACTACTAGTGAGACATTTTACACACCTCAACTCATTATTGAAAAGTTGAGATATTCTGGGGAAAGATTGTGTAACATTCTATTACGTCTATTAATTTACATGTATATGCGGAAACAGGGAGGGACGGTCGTGATCTTCAGGTATGGGTGGTTGGATTCATTTAAATGGTTACAGAAGCCAATGAACTTCGATGGTCATATATTATCACAGGATAAACAAATATCTTCCTCTATTGCAAAACATTTGATTAAGACAGGTTATGATTTTGATACTGAGGTTTATTGAAGCCTTGGATGTGTGCTCAAAAACATTTTGTTCTAACCCTTAGCCTACTCCCTATTAATACTGATTATCCAGTGTGGTTTTCACATTGTTTACTTTATTACTATCTTTATTTCCTCTTGCCTTCAAGTTTGTATAATTAATCTTTTATTTTTCCCTACGTACTATCTTAATAAGTATACGTGTGATCAGTTTACTCAAATATGTCACATAATTCTGATAACATTTGTTTTCTCATTGGTTTATCCAAATATATACTTCTTTACATTCGGTTTTTCTTAAATCATATCACCTATACTTAATATTCTTTACATATATTGACAATCTCACTACTTCTTTTACTCTGGCATTTGTGTTAATAATTCCATTTCGCTGTGCTGATTTGGTGTAGCAACTCGAACTGAATTATATATGCTCCAGGTCCAACGTTCTGCTTGGCTAGCTGACTAGATATCTACCCAAATAATTTAAGTCAATAGTTGTTCTCATACACTAAATTCCTTATCGTTTAACAATAAATTATATTTGTAAACAAAAGCGCCCTCATAAAATCCTACCCGATGAGTTCATGAAATGTAGACAATCTCACATTCAGAACTGATTGTCTGCAAACATCGTTTGTATATTAAATTTCTAACATTGTATATCTTGCGTAGACAATTGTTTATAAATACTTGTACCATTTTGATGATGGTTGTAATAGTTCTCCAGGTTTCAGCTCCGTACAGTAGGACTGTGTTGACGTTCGTATTGAAGATTGTGACTGATATTGGTTGACAGACAGTTGTTTTGAGTTCCATATGTTCTTCAGTTGTAGGAATACTGTCCTTGCTTTGTCAATCATCGCCTTTACGTCTGCATCCGATCCTCCTTGTTCATCGATCATGCTTCCCAGGTAGATCCGATCCAGAGAGGAACTAAAAGCAGCTGTCGAGAAAAAATATTATGCTGCTAAACTGGTTGTAATTGAAAAGTCTAAGCCCATGATTCCAAATAGACCTAGAAAACCCACGAATGACTCCATTGCATTGACCAATTTACGTGTTTGTGCAGACATATACATAGGGAGGAGTAATCGAATAAACCAATTAAGGGTTATGGAACATGTGCTAGATGGCTTCAGAACCAGTTAATTTCAAATGTTCTGATAAAGGTAGGAAGTAGAAAACCATGTTCATCGATAGCAAAAAACATAATTGAAACGGGGTATAGAGTTGATATCAATAAAGCTTTTAAAACGTATAGAAATTGTCAAGCACAAGTTCTCAAGTTTATAAAAGCCTTGGTTATTCGTAAATTCAAGCCCCTCTTATATGTACAAAAAGATTTGTCGTGACCTTGAATCTACCCTAGCTTAGGGTAATGCGACAATTTCCTATTCTTTCTATACGATGTTAATTTTTTCTCTCCCCTTTATTGCTTTGTTTACTTGGACTTTCATTTAATTAATCAACTGACTCATGATTTCAATCTGTGAAATTTCTAAAATCTCCACAAAACCCATTCTGATAATAAACCTTATTAATTATCATATAAAATATCCTAACAAGTATATGTGTGACCAGATTGTTCGAAATGTTTAACGCAAATACACCACATTTTTCAGATCATTTCCGTATTCTCCTTGATCTGTCGAAATTTATAAAAGGAGTTATTTACTTTAACATTGATCATCATCTGTGTATACTAAATTCAACCTACACAATAAGACTTCCTTAAAACCTAGTCAGTTGTCCAGTTAATTCATCTTTCAAATTAAAAAAAAACTTTTGTCAGGCTATGAGTTTGATGAATTACAGGTAATTACCTATCTTATATTTATATATCTCACAATTATAATATTTATTAATTGAAGTAAGGTTTGTGTAGCTGGTTAACAGTTTAATGTCTTTGTACTGAACATATAACTCTAGAATGTATGGATATTTGTTGTAACTCCATATTATGTATTAAATTATTTTTCCTACAATCTTATTATCTTCCTAAAACAATATTGTTATTTAGACATTGGATCATTTACTGTCACTTTGTCATGGTGATTTACGGCAAGGTATCACAATGTTACAATGTGTTCATCAGTTAATTATATCCGTTGATGATTCCGATGTCGATTGTCGTTCTTCGATTACCTCAAAAGAATTAGATGAGGCTGCAGCTGTTGTTCCGAGTGATATAATTAAAAATCTTATTAAAACATCAGAAAATGGTAGTTTCGATGATTTACAAATCATTATCAAAGTGAGTTTTTTAGGTATAGACCTGATTTTTATTTTTATTCAATAAATAATATTATTTATGTTAGTGCTGTCGTGTTCTCTCTGCCCGAATAATGTGATTATTAAATTGTTCATTGTCGTTTTGTTAAACATGAACAACATCTACATTATTTAAAAGATAGACTGTTGTGGATAGTCTTCAAAATAATTCCTAAGGTTTCGTATATCAATTGTATTAATAAACGTTATTAAATAAATCACAACAGTACGTAAATTTCATAAGACAATACAAAGCATCGAATACAGTTTGTTATAGTACAACGCAGATCACTAAGTCACCACCATCAAAAGCTGGTTCGATGGTTAGCCAAATTATTAGGACCAATTCGTAGAAAACTGGCGACCAATAGTTTAAAAGACGCATTTCAGTTTTCTAGAGAAATGGACTAATTGAATATATCAGATAAACACATGGTAACTTTTGATGTGTGTCCATTATTTACAAGTATACTACTAGAAGAAACTATTAATATAATTTGCGAACAGTCTGAGTTACTTCTTTTAATGTATTTGTTAAATAGTGAATGAATGAAATTAGCCAGTGCTACTGAGTTTGATCCATTTACCCACTGTTTTTAACGATTGTTTATAAATATTGAATGACCCCTAAGAAATTTGTCTTCACTTTTCCATACATGGCTTCAATCAACGACTTTATGGAATGATACCATATCTTTATCTACGAATCTCTACATTTTTTCAAACCAACTATGGTGTTCAGTATTGTAAGTTAGGGTAGGCAGTAATTTATCACACAGAGGTTGGGTTGTTTTTTTACAGTACTTAAGCTGCTACAATGTAAATTATGAAATAGACGCCTTTCGGTATATCGGCAGTTGAATTACTACACTACACGTGAGTTAGAACACATTGCCGTATGAAAAGAGAAGCAAAATGGACTTATATAAAAGGTGTTTCTATCTCAAGTCGAGGTGAAAAATGCTATAAAACACCCCTGAACAAGTAGTGATTTAATGACTTTCTATTACAGAAGAAAAATAGTGTATTGAAAGTGAAAATTGAATTAACCAATAATAAAGGATGAAGTATGCAGCGTTTATAATCTATCACTTGCATTCAAATAAATATATCTTCTATCCACCCATTACAATAATTCTGCGTTTGATTTAATGCGATCAGTAACAAATAATGAGTGATAAGCATGGAAAAGAAGAAGAAATGATTAATTTAAAATTGCTAACCGAATATCGTGTTTACATTAATCAGTAAAATGGATCGATGGAAATATGAATAGAGAAATTATCCAAGAGAAGTTTAGTTACTTACAAGTAGTATAATTATATTACATAAATCTCATGGGTCATCCAGATGTAATCTTACAAGACTGGAAAGTAATGTTTTAAAACACTCTTAATGGACCTAATTGTGAGGACGGCCCACAGGTAAACTCAAGGAAGCTCAAAAAAAGCCAAAGATACTCCGTCCAATCATCTTTTGGAAGAACATTCCAGGATTTCGACGTGCGGATTAGATGACTGTAATGATGATTTCGTTGTTACTAAAAAACTATAAATACCTGATAATTTTGTGCCATATTTAACACTGTTGGGATAATATTCTGCTTCACTCGTCTTCTGTCTTCTCATTTTGCGACTTGGAGGGTTCTGTCGTTCGAGTGCTCAAGTAGTACGCGGTATATCAAGAATCTATACTCTAGATATAACACTAATTTTGTGATATCTTAAAGAACTTGTTAGCAAATAACTTTAAAGATTGATTGTGAAGTCCAACTGATTGCTATTTCACTTGGTACACAATTAAATCCGAACGTGTTTGGGTGATACTGAATAATTTATGGTTGGAATTGAGTTATGATGATACTTTGGTATACGTAATGCACATTCCATCCACATTAGTATGCACACATTTACAAACTCACTAGATGGATATATATATGACTGTTACATAATAAATGCTATCTAAGTTTGCTAACGCAAGTCTGTACTTGACTACTAATCTCAATCAATGTTAATCATTATTCCAGTAACGCTCTACTTGAGATCAGTTTATGTTTTGAACGGTGAAAATTGTGAAAATATGCAAAACTCGTTTTTTCTTATTATAAAATCTATTCCCGTAACTAATTTCTTTTGCTAATATTGTTTTTAGAATTTATTATTGGAAGGTTATTCAGCACATCAGACCACTTATCAACTGCACGAACATATAATCAATGACGATAAACTATCCTGTATTCAAAAGGCATCTATTTTGGAATCTCTTGCTGTAAGTACTGTTTAAAAAGTAATTTGCCTTTTCGTATTTAGCCAGCAATCATTCATCGTATTGCATTTAATAATAAAACATGAATATTAGTCTGAAATTTGAATAATCTATTTCACTTCATATTTAAAATACATTTGAAGCTGATAAATCTCAGTGTTAGGACAACGTTCAATTCACAACTAATTGAAATCATTGTCGATAGAACAAGCTGTCATTCATATACGGAAAAATTTAGATAGCTCACATCATCTGGTATTTGTGCTAACGTGGTTGACGAAAGCTCATAATTAAACCTCCCAGCTTTTTGGACAAAATTCCATCAAAATATCAGTAATCCTTATGATAAAATTGAGCTTTCTTATAATTAGATTATTTTTATCATTTCTAAACTAAAAATCTCATCTCATATCATTCAGGTTAAAGGTTATGATGATTCGGGCAACTAATAATTTTTATGTTGAGGACGATAAGTAGACTCTATGGGAAAGAATCAATAGCTTTGTGGTTGGAAGAATTTCCTTTAAAATATTTAGTTGCAAGCTCAAATCATACTTCATCTAGTCTGATTTAAGGAATCGATTAGTATCAGTAGCCCTTATATAAGGTATGTGGATCAATTAATCCCAACAACCTTACATAGACTGAAACTTGTTAAATGAGTTTTGTCTTTCTCTCTGTAATGATTTTAAATAAAGGTTTGAGTCAACCGATCAAACAAGTACATAGCTGTCTGAATTAAGTATTAATTATTTAAACATAAACACTAGTACAAAAAGACACCAAGCAGATATGCTTCACATCAATCATTCGATTTATGTGGGGGCTAGAATACTTCCCAGTTGCCCAAACTAAAGCAGGTGGTATTCCTGGGGGCCACACCCTGAGCCTTTGACCTAAAGGTCTGATCCACAAGGTAGCGAAGCAACATCAGAAGATGCAGTCCTATGGTAGCCGGTGACCAACAATTGGTTCATACACCATTTGTTCTCTCAGGATACTGAAGCCCGTTTACACCATTGGTTTGGAATCAGGGTTTTCCAACTCCCCTAGGTGGACTCTCCATGTCCACCAACTCGGTTAAAGCGCCGGACATTCGCTTTTCGTCGTCCTCTCAATTTCGTAAACAACAGTAATACCGCAAGAAGGCGGTGAGTATGACTTCCTTGGCAGTAGTTGTATGCACGTGGACATATGAGAGCATTTCGAGAGGTAGAGCTGACTCTCCCCCACCTCCACCGTACCAGGGCATTTGCGGGCAATCAAAGTTATACAATATACCATGGATCTAAAGTTCGCCGGGCTGCAACTGTCAATAATCTTGATCCATTGCAGTATTGTGATCGAATGAGTCCTTTGTTTGAGGTATTCGTTTTTTAACCATTTTGAAGATGTGTATTCATGTCTGTGCCTGTATTTACCAGTGAAAACTGGTTGTGAAATGTGTGTATCTGTAAATGTTGGTGATTGTATTTTTTTGTGCATGTGACAGACGAGACCAATCATGATAAAAACATGAACAGGTTGTACTTATGAACTCTGTAGCACTATTCGTCCTCCTGATAAGATATTTCACAATCCAAAAAATTTTGGCGAACAGAGTTCGAAATTTTCGATAATATGTGAACTGAGCCATGTTAATAGGTGTAGATCTACCTGGTTGGGGTTAGTGTGATTATTGTGACCAATGGTTAGAGACTTTGGGTGACATGGCTTACAATCGTTGCCCTCCTAAGTTTCTAAATTCCTCATAAATTTATCTTATTAGTTCACTAACTTATCTTAAATCGTATTTTCGATGCCTAATGTTTTCTACCAGCATTAATGATGTTACTACCTCTACTATTTTGGGATTTGCTCCGATAATTTCATCTCATTGTGCTAATGGGATATGGCAACTTAAACTGACGTACATACGCACCAGGTCGTAGGTTACTTATGATTGACTGTCCTCACATGTAATCTATGCTTAGTGTTTTAACGTCAGACCATGTCACATTTTTCTAGTATTTACGTCACGAAAATATTGGAGTTTTGGTTGACGGTCGAACTCTGTCTTGATATTTAGTCCGTGAATTATGAGGATGGATAAAATGCTATTGGTACAAATGTTTTTTTGTTGAAAATTGACCTGTTTCCATTGTTAAAAACATGTTTCTATTATTTTAAAGTTTTTATTGTCTTATAAAGTATATGTTTGAATGTGCATGTGTGTATGTGACTGTGATGAAAATGGAGCCGAGTTTAAGTCTGTTCTGTTGACTTTTTTGTCTTCATTGAACGATCATTGAAATGAATATCGGAGCAACATTCTGAGTCACTTTAATTCGTTTAATTTTTTCCTAACATAAATTTTATGTAATGAATTAAATAAGGTCGATGTCTTCATTCGTTATGTTTTTTTATCTAATATATTTATATATACTGTCACATTTAATGTTTAGTTCATTTGTTTATCCTACTCTTACAGTATATTTCTTAGTGTCCTTTTCATATGCTACAAAAAGCTTATCCTAGTGTTATTTAACAAGTGTAACTGCAAAGTTGAGTAGATATTTCTGTCAGTTTTTTTTAGTTATTAACTACAATTTTCTACCTTTATTTAAGTTGTCATTCGATTAAGTGAGGTGTTTGTTTTCTGTTCGAATAAATTCTATGTAGTTTCTTACAAAACATGAAATTCAGAAGAAATTATAGGTATATGTATGTAGTTAAAAAATTATTCAGTTGTCAAGGAGAGAGTTAAGTTGTATATGATATATTTTTCTTTCGTTGGAAACAGAGTAAAAAATAGGTCTGAAGGCGAAGTCGTACTGCTGACTGTAAAGAGGTGTGACAGCAGTAAGGTGTTTCCTTCAGACAACCAGCATGACAGCGATGTTGCCTTCCCATAAGGAGGGGTAAGGTTAGAAAAAGTCGACCATAAAAATGCACACCTCGCCTTATTCCACGGATATCCGTCTCCGGTGGTAAGGTCTCAACAAGTACGGAGCTAACACAAAAATTACCCATAAAAAGGTCGTGTGTGACCGACCTTAGGCAGTTGTCCCTTGGGCACTGCGATCACGCTCTCAGGTCACTAAGATCACCTCTAATCCAATTTCCTTTTCAGGTACCTCCAGAAGAACCCTTCGACGGTGTATCTCAGGCGCACCTCAGAAGTACATAAACCTTGTGAAGGCTCTCTACTCGAATACTACTAGTCGAGTTAGACCTTATGGCGAACTGTCATCTGCTTTTGCAAACTCAAGTGGTGTCCGTCAAGGCTGCCCACTTTCTCCATTTTTGTTTAACTTCATCGTAGACCTACTGAATTCGTGGGCATTGACCTCCTTTCAGGAGATCCACTTGTCGACTTAGAATACGCAGATGACATATTCCTGTTTGGTGAAGACGCTGATAAAATGCAGAGTCTTCTGGTAGCACTGAGCAACAATGCCAGAATGTTTGGAATGCGCTTCTCTCCCTCTAAATGCAAGCTGCTGCTCAACGACTGGTCTGCTTCAACACCTGAACTAAGGATAGGGAGTGAAGTAGTCGAACGCGTTGACAACTTCACTTATCTTGGAAGTCTGATCAGCCCTGATGGGTTGGTGTCTGACGAAATCCCAGCACGGATTCGTAAAGCTCGCTTGGCTTTTGCCACCTTACGTCACCTATGGCGAAGGCGAGATATCCGTCTATCAATAAAACGACGAGTAAACTGTGCGACAGTTCGTTCTGGTTTACTTTACGGCTGGGAAACATGACCATTAAGCGTAGAAGATACTCGTAAACCACTAGTATTTGATCACAAATGCCTTAGAAATATTGTTCGCATCTGCTGGGGTCACCGGTTAAGTAATAGTGAAGTTAGACTCAGGGTATTACGGAATGATGGTAAATCAGTTGATGAGGTTGTGAATCTTCGTTGACTGAGATGGTTGGGCCACGTGTTACCTAGTAAAGATTGTAGGATTTTCTTAACTAAAGCATTACCAGAAACCTTGAAGGACTTGAAGTCCATTTCGTTCTAGTATGAGTATCTTCAGCAGAGCTCATTTACAATCCTACACTCGTGAATCGGTCTGAGAACCTTCAGTCTGGCGCGTGAACGCTTAGACTGTAAACCACTGAGTCGGGGTCCATCGGCTTCAATGTTGAACTTCAATTAGACCATGCTCTTGCTCAACTCTTCATCTATTGTCTGCGTTGGATAACTGACTCACATCTGATATGGTTGGGCTCCACTGGTTACGGCTTCTCACTACATCTTGAAGCTAGTTACTAGTAAGCACAAAATTCTTATGAGTATAGGGAGTTTGGTTTAAGACGAAACGACCGTATGTTACTTCCAGGTTTTCAACGATGATCTAGCTGTAATCAGTTCTTGACTTTAACTATTAAAATTAATTATTTTCTGAAAACAATTACAGAATTTATGACCAATTTGACACATACAAAAATCTAACATATAAAGGATAAGTGATATAATTTAGTTGTTTATAAAAACTAGGATTCATAAAATATTTTAAAGTGACATTTATCACAGAGGATCATAAAAATTATTTTGATTCTTGATCATTTTCAATTTTGTTCAGTCTATAACGAATATTTTATTGACATTGTTTTAGAATTAGAGAACTTACCAACAGTGTTTTTAATTGTTATTCTTTTGTTAAAAAAACGATTTTTAGGTTGCTGATTCTCGATTAATTGATGGAGCTGATGAATATTTACAACTTCTAGCCGTCGGAGGGACTCTACTTAAAACTATCCAATCAAATTAAAAGATGTATTTATCTTTATATAATGCTCTTTTTCTTTTTAAAAAAAGAATTTAACAAGTACTGTATGATGATGAATAAATATTTTCAGAAATACTATCACTTATAACTTTAACAATCGGTTTTGTTTAGCTTATAGCTTTTGCACCATGTGATTTGTTTAAGTAATAGAAATTACATGTGTTAACATTTTATAGACAATTTTCAGGGCAGTACACTACATATTGCTTAGTGATGTTCCGTTATCTGGATTGTATAAACAACATACTTTTTAAAGCATAGTCTGAGTCATTCTATTATAAGCAGCGTTTGGCATGACACATATGCTTCATTTCAATTCACTACTTCATATCTTCACAGAGAAATAAGATTGCCAAGATAACATCCCAGAGCTGTAGAAGTAGTAACAATGTCAGCGTCTAGAGGAAGATGAAGAGTGAATCCATTCAGGGTATTGTGACTGATTCTAAGCCATATTACCCAACGTCTCCAACTATTTGTTACAATAATCTGCACCTGTGACCATGACTGTCTAAAAGTAGATAAAACCAAGTATAAGCTGCACGATTCCGATAGGTTTCTTTGATCCTGTCTATTTAGATTATAAGCAATAGCATCTGACACTGCTAGGTTTAAAGCTATTACGAGTTCACTTAGTATGCGAACGGAATAAAGACTTGTGAACGTAGACCAATAACCTAGCTATTTGATGTGTCCCAGCCCCGCTAACTAGAGGAAGAAGTCCAAGCTTAGGATGGGGAAGTATATTCTGCAAATAGCCAGAAACGATCGAATAATAAGACACAAATCAAACGTATATATACAGTGTAAAGCTGTCCTTGAGAAGCGTTGCAAAAATAGCATACTAAAAATACACAACGGACCAATAGTGTTAAAGATTCTCCCAAGTGGGAAATACGACATGAAGGTGGACAGTGCGCTTTCGACGCGAAAACAAAGAAATTCAAATTTTCAAGATAAAATTAAGGCATTTAACAAGTGAGTTCTGGGGATCTAACATCCCCGACAGACTCCGCAGTTTACTGAAATAATCAGAAGTGTCGTTTACATAAATAAACATAAACCAGGCTTCATGGTAGGTAAAACAGTCGTTTGCTGTACAATGTGATACCTATTCAAGTGTTAAACTAAAGGCAAACAATAAATATCATCAGGTTATTTATTATCGTCATTCAACAAAAAACTAGGTTTGTTATTCGTCTTTGAAGGTTACCGAAACACTCATCAGATTTACCAGACATGATTAGACTCCAAATATTCGATCTTAAGTAACTTTGGGGAGTGGTGGTGCTAATGTTCGAAATAGAGAAGTGCTAAGAAATGGTGACAGAACCTTATCGATTTAGATGTCTAGAACTTGTGATTCAATCACAGAACTGCTATGCGGTTTGACATATTAATTTACTAGCGTAGTAGTTGAATAGAAAAAGACTAGGGATGGTCAGAATTAGACATAAAATAGGTCCTTAAATGTTGATTTTAGCTGTCTAGGGATATTCTTCATACTAGACGTCATCATTGATGCAGTCCCACAAAAATGAGGCTCGTCAGTTACTTATTACTGATAATTTCTCTTGTTTCTAAATGTGAGAATACGAGTAAAATAAGCTAGTTGCAGTATTATTTCCCATTGTGGTGAACTGAAACACAGAATACCAAATAACTGAACGCAGTGTCCAAATTCCACACATGTATGAACGAAATACAACACTCAAGTTACAGACAAGAAGAACGATAGATGGAAATGAATGATTGAGTGAGTACAACTTAATCAATGACAGAATAGTACAGGAAATTTCAACCATTTTCAGGATACATTTCACTTTACTGAGGCATTTACGATCACACAAACTTAACACTTGAACTTGAAATAGTTTTGGTAATGTCTAGTGTCAACCATTCATTGATTTTTCAGGTCAATTACTTTAGTACCTTATATACTAACGAGCGCTTTCCTCTGTATTATCAAGTGTTGTTTAATATGTTTTCATTCTGACCATTATGATTTTTCAAATATTATGATTGACTTCGTTTCTTAAATGTTCAGCAGTTAAATGATGTAGTATGATAATTAACCCATGGACAAGGGATATTCACAAAGGAAAACTTCATTGTAATTACAATCAGATTGCTATTCAAAAATGTTGAAGTACAATAAATTAGATTCTTTCTAAAAAAGGTAAAAGTATACCTAACTGACGGACTTTGAAGACTTAAAATGACCCTGAGAAAGTAAAGGCAATCAAGATGCAAGTAATTTGAGTGAATAGTTCACTACTGATGTGAACAGAGAAACAAAAAGCTATGAAAAACTACGGAAGCTATTTTCGGAGACGTTACTTCATTTAGTTCAAAGCTTGTAAAAAAGTAACATTTATTCCTTTCCCTAGTTTATTCTAGACCATAAGCTTTCACTGCCATAGCCTTATCTGTTCCAAAGCTATTGCAATTTAAACACAATCTTTTATTCTCTATTTTCTATCCCAATCCCCAGTTTTGGAAGTAATTGTTTTTTCCTAATTGTTTGTACATTGTGGTCTTGTTAAACATCTATTTATTCATGTACCTTTTTACACTAGTCTGAATCTGAACGAGATCAGAATTGGGAATAAATCGAGTAATGTTCCAGTTATCTCGTCTTCTCTCTCGAGGCTGCTTATCATCCAATCAATTGATAGAATAGTTTTCGTCTCCCTACCCCAAGCAGTTATTCTCACTTCGAATCTACGCATACTAGTATCAAAGTTAAACCACTCAGCTTGTCACATCAAGGTCTTAATCTAGATTGAGACAAGTTATCAGTGGGTAGACAAATCAAGGACTTAACAACTACATATAAACGAAAACAAGGCTAGAATTAGGAGTTGGAGTCTCATAGTTATACTTACACTGATAGTTTTTCGATTTCAAATCTCAAAAACCTTTAAGTTACCTTGGGGAATTCATAAATCACGTGGAAACTTTGTATACATATTAACCATATGTATTTCTTACTATTTTCTCCGCGAAGAATTGTCACGTCTTAATAACTATTAGCTCTTATTAAGATGTACACTAATCATCACATTTTGAATTTTGTGCAAAATTCCAATAACCGCTATGATGAATCCTACTGATTCATCAGTAAAGTGTACTTTCTTCAGCGATTAGTTTAGAAAAAAATACAACAGTATTATTGAGATATAAAAAGAACGACCTCATGGATATATCATTTCCAATGATCTTTCGCAAACGTGATATATATATATAGTGTATGTTACTTATGTTGACAGATATAAGTAGTATTTGGCACCAATCGGAAGTGAAATACCTGCAAACAGAAGATTGAAATGAAAAGAAGTAAGAAAGAAAACTGAGAGCAATCAAAATAATAATAGGAATGAATGAACAATAGGGTTTGTAAAAGACAACTAATGGAAGATGTGCAAATAATGTATTGAATGTATGATTTTTTTTTGTATTTTACTAAAGCACTCTGTAATTTTTTCAGAAAATAATAAATTGGTCTTCTCTATCTGAATTCTTTATTCGTTATTGGCAACTTGCAAAAGACAACATTCAGTAATAAAAACAAATTTTATTTGATGAATATACGTATACATGATATATGAAATTATTGTATTGAAGAAGGTAACAATCGACAACAACAGGGTAAAACAGTAATAATAAATAATAATAGTCAATGAATAAATACTTTTACAAATAAACAGTAAGAACAAGTGAATTATTAATTGAAATAGATGAATATCATTACGTCATTGTCATCTATGAATTGATGCCAGATAATACTGCTGCCACTTATACATACAAATAGATAGAAAGAGAACAAAGCACTATCTGTTCATCATTCTGCTGTATTTACTTATTTACAATAATAATAATAGTAATATATGATTTATGAATTGATTGATTAGGCTAAATGCTCTATGTTGTGGAAAAAAAAAGAAAGTCAAATGAGAAACTGATGTAAGTTTACATATATTGAATGATAAATATCACCGGAAAGAAATATAAATATATAGAATGAAGAAAAGTGTACTGTTTCAATGGAGAGATAGAGAGAGAGAGGTGATAACTTAAATTAAGAGTATCAAGTTTAAATAAGTCAGCATAAAATATATGTATAGAAATAAATCTGTGTCTATGTGTAGATTCCGGATTGTTATCCAACTAAATAATGTCATCAACAACAATTCTTTAAAGATTCTAATCGTGCAACTAATTTTAGTGCTGGTCCTATTTTCATACCAATCGGTGGTTGAATAAATTGATCTTCAGCTAATAATAATAATGCTTCACCATCTATTTCATTATTTAAAAATGCCGATGCATATGCTCCACAACCAGGTGTACCACGAACAAATGCAACAACATCATCAGGAGTCCATTTATATATTGGACCTTTCGGTGGTGGATTAGGTGTTAATAGTCCAGATGATGGTGTAATTGTTTGAGATATACCATACATTGCTTGAGCAATACTTGGTGTTCGTTGTTGACATGTAGATTGATTGAATGCAGTGGAAGTTAATCCAGTCATAATCTGTTAAAATAGAATTAAGTAAAAAAAAGACCAACAAAATACTAATATTAAACTTGAATAACAACCTATGTATGTAACTCTATAATCCTATATACATAATAACTTGTGCCCTATTAATATACAACGTAATGATATCGCCAATTATTGAACAGTGACTTATCGACCAAATCAATGACGCATAAACTCGTACGAGCAGTCTAGAGTCCTTAACGGTCATTCTTACTGCCTGGCCTTGACTGTTGAGTCCAGAACATCAATAGCAGCTTCTACTATACGAATCATTTACTTTAAACATACTGGGTTTATATACAAACCAAACAGACTACATCGCACTACAAAATAGAAAACAACATTTGTGCAAGATCTAGACAAAAGTGGCTGTGAATGTGAAAGAATGTAGCTAATAGACTGGGCATAATTTAAGAACGGTATAATAATAGTCTATGGGTGAAAATAAAGCTTGTAATAATAGGCACATGAATATGCATAGTTTAGCTTCTTAACAAGTATACAATAAAAACATATGTATAGTATTGGTCCATAAATAGATCCAAACAGTTAGCATTCAATATTCTCGTCGGGATAGTATATATAATACTTATTATTTGTGCTCATTAAATGTCACTGGGTTTAAGTGTGAATCTGTGTTACTGGGGTAACAGAGTTAAAGATAGTATGAAAAGATGTTTATGTACTACTCTGGCCTTACTTTTTCCTGGGAAAGTTTCCTGAATACAGTCAATCATTCTCACTTTGTATAAAATTTACAAAGAAAACATAGATATGTGAAAATTGGCATGTCACATCTAAAGTATTTAAATGGTCAATTCGAATTTCCTTAAGATATAAGAAATGTGGCTAATATTTGTATCTACGGTTCATGTTTCGTCTTACTTAAGACTCATCAAACAGATGTACTCCAAGGTTAACGTTCACATTTGGATTCGAATGCAGCAACTTCGTTTCAAATCTTAATGCACTATCCACTTAGCTAATAAATCGAGATAACAACTCGTCTCATATATGGAACATAAATAATCATGTTCACTTATTTTCGAACTATCCGGTAAGAGAAAAATCCTCAAATACTGAACTCCCCAGTATTTCAAAACGAACACATCTTTATTAAATCTAATTCTATTCTTTTATGAATGATGAATATTGAAGAATAAAAGTGGCAAAATAAAACACTTATTCAGTATTTATTAGGTTTCATTTCGTCATTAAATGGAATTATTATGTAATGAATATTATTTCTGAATTATTCCAGTAATGTAAAAGTAACTTCAATCTTTATCATTAAACACTTGGCACCGATTTTTTTTTACTGGTTCCCATTACCGTTTATATGATTATATGATACATAATAGTCTTATTTGAAATAATGAAGAGAATAACGTTTTCATTTACTGATTGCATCTATTGTTTTCACTCTTTTAGTATTATTAATCATAGAAAAAGTGGAACGACATGAAACAGTTGCTTGTAAAACAAAATATGAGTGTTGTAATCAATACAATGGTTAAGGTAAAACGCAAGTGACCTACCTACCTACCTACCTACCTACAAATTTGATTTTCCATCAATCTCATTTATTCGTTTAACAAATATTTTGTTCATGAGCATATTATTTTATTAGGAATACACCTATTCTACTGAGCAACTAGTTGTCTTGTCATCTGATATCAGTTCAATTTATAGTGAGGGGAAAACGAGTTTTTACAAATAAAAAGTTCTCGTAAACAGCCATCAGTCAGAAACCATGTATCATTGTATTTTAACTATCGTTCATTTTAGTGAACAACAAACCAAATCTACTTATGAAATTGCAAATCATAAAAACAGTTAAACGTTGGATTATACACTACTAAACTAAAAACCAATAAAAATCATCATGTTGACGGGCAAGATAATTATTTTGTGGAATTAAACACCGCTGAAAAAAGTAATTATGAACTATGATGTCATGTATTGTAAGTTATAATACCTACAGAGGGTAGTTATAAAGTAAAGATTCGATAAGGAAAATAGATATTTTAGTTTTGCTTACTCCAGAACTGGACTGGATTTCATTTAATGGTTTGCTAAGCGATATTGAAGATTCAGTGTTCTGATATTGTGAGATCAAGGAATGATGTGAATAACTTTCAATTGATTTACCATCCATAATAGTTGGTTCATTTCCTCCTTTCATATCAGAAGATGATTGTCTATCATTTCGACTAGGAATTGATACAATTGGTGATTGAGTGTAAACCACACTAGCCGAATTACGATTAGCTAAAGACAATATAGTAGAATGTGGATATGATGCTAAAATTCCTTGTGTGGGTTGATGATAATGATTAGTTTTTGATGCTAGAAATGAATAAATGAATTTAAACAAATCATTAATGAATTTTAATGGTCATCATTTGAAACTAATCTTCACTAACTTGCCTCAACCAAACATTAATTGTAAGCTCATTAACTGGTGACTGACCTCGAGAGATGAACTACCGAAGTTCTAGTGAGAAATAATAAGCTGGTACAATTTAACCACGTAAAGCAGTGTCTAGTATTCGTCCATCAACGGTATTGGATGATGTCATGCTATGGATAGGAAATCGACTGAATTAGAGAATACGGATCATAGGATTCTAAGAGTGAGGTCTAAGGTTTTGCGTTTTCAATCACTCGCCTGGTTTTAAAGTGAAACAACTGTCCACTGCTTCTTGATCTTTCAATGGTTTTTCATTTGATGTTAAAAACGGTGATGAAAATGAACTAAAAATCAAACAATAATGTAGTCTATTACTACCTTGTATGTTAATTATGCAGACAAACAAGAGGCCGAGGGTGAGGAGAGTGAGCACTCTCGAAATGCTCTCACATGGCCATGCGTATAAAGCTACTGCCAGTGAAGTTCTACTCACTGCCTTCTCGTGGTATTACTGTTGTTTACGAAATTGAAAAGAAGAAAAGCGAATGACTGGTTCTTTAACCGGGTTGGTGGATATGGAGGATCCACCTAGGGGATACGGAAAACCCTGATTCCAAACCAAGGGTGCACATGGGCTTCAGAATCCTGAAGAAACAAATGGCGTGAGAATCAATTGTTGGTCACCGACTACCATGGGACTGCATCTTCTGACGTTGTTCCATGACCTTGAGGCCAAAGGCTCAGGGTGTGGCCCCCAAGAACACCACGTGCTTCGGTTTGGGCAGCCGGGCAGTATCACAGCCCATACACAAATCAAGTGACTTGTGTGGCGCATATGTATTCAGTGCCCCTTTGTAACAATATTTGTGTTCAAATAAATAAATAAATAAAGTCCGAGTAGCAACAGGAATGGAAGGGCGATGGAATTTGTAAAAGACAATTCAAGGAAGGCATGCAAATGGTGTATTCAATCTATTGTTTTCATATTTTACAAATACAGTGTATGATTTTGTTCAATACAATAGCTTATATAGTCACTCCTCATAGATATCCGATACCCATGATGAGACGTTAAGAAAACAGAGCTAGCACACAATAAGCTACTCATAAGGACGTCATTTATATGACCAGCTACAAGTAGCTATTCCTTTTGACTACGATTCCTCTTTATAATAGCCGAGATCACTATTAACCTTTATAGCGCTAACAGTATACAAGGTTCATCCTTACTGTTTCACTGAGATGTACTGAGTTTGAAATCATTTAATTTTGTTATTTACTGATGAGGCAAACAAATGTGAGCTAGAGGAAAGAAGAAAACTTACAGTCATTTTCATCATGAATATCGTTGTACAATTGTTGTTCATTGGATGGTTTACGACGTCGAGTTTCATAATGTAACAACATACAGGGGGAATTAGACGTAACAATTGATCCAGGATGATTCGTATACTTGTCTACAATAGACAGTGATGATGAATTTGACACTTTCAGTGGGTTAATCCAACTACTACCACAGCCACCAACATCTTGAATAGGTAATCTAGATGAAGAAGTAGCTATAAACGCCTCGGATTCACAGTTATCAACAGGTTTTACAGCTGTTGTTTTCAATGATGAGAAAGATGGAGTTGTAGGTGATTTGATATTATTCATTATTCTGTCTTCATAACCATTCATGATGAAAGTCTTAAGTGGTGAATTGGTAGAGCTGACTACACAAGACTGTTGCTGTTTCATAAGAGCTGTTTCAACCACTATCATACCATTTTTCACCTAATGAAATAAAAGGAAACAAAAATAAGAGCATTACATGACACAAATAAATACGATTATGATCGATAGTATACGTTAAGGTAAGCAATTATTACTATCACTAACAATCTATTTTAGTGTTCAATTGTTCGAGATACAAATAATATGTATAAAAATTTTAAAATACTTGTTTGAAGGATTTAATCGGTTAAATGATCAACTATTCCTTGGTTGAAAAGATTGATAGGTAATTTCGAAATATCATTTACCGATCACTTTATTAGTTACTATTGGTACAAATTCGTGTACTTAGTTTTGAGACAAACTTTAGGTATGATGGCAAGTGATACTCTTATCATCCAGATGCTCAAACTGTATTAAGTGTAGTGGCTTTCGATACTGTGACTTGGTGGATGAAAATCGTACACTTGATTGGTTAACAGTTAGTAGTAAATTGACAAAAGCAGGAAGTAGATGAAGATAAAGTTAAAAAGAATCTTCTAGTGTAGGTATCACTCACAGTATGCTATAGCATAAAGGTATTAAGATGGTGAAATGGTTATTTCTGAATACTTAGAACAAAAGAATAACATTCGCTTACTAACTCAATAAAATATGTAGATTTTTCTGAATAAAATGATAAAGTCTATTGATGAAGCTATTAATCTTCATTGACATGATTAAGGCATGGGTAATACATCCATAGTCTATATCTAGGGTGACAAGCAATGCTAGAAAAAAAAACCGACGAATGAGCAAAATTAGTCTATGAAGTTATTTCATAGTTTACAATAAGGACTAATATTAGTTGGGAAACTATTGAAAAACAGGAAGAACTAAACATGTTTCGTCCTAGTATGGGACCCCTCGGCAGTGTGAATCTACGACCCTATCTACGATCGAACCCAGGAGATTCAGATCAGTTGACTTTTAGATCACTTAGCCGGCATCCAACACTTTAGTAGTGATCATGATGCTAATAATCATTGAGCTGAGCAATATTGGTAAGGACAGAGAACTCTTGATTAGAGTTCATGTAACAGTTGTCATTTACTGATGTGAAATTTGATGTAGTAGCATTAACAGTAAGTTAAGTGCCCATTCTCAACTGTTTAGTCTTTGGTCAAATTTTATATTTTTGTACTTCACTTCCACAACTTAGGTTTTGAATGTAAATTATACTACTCTTTTCCGCCTTTTATCTTGACAATTTTCTCTCTATCCTGATGTAAGTCATGAGAATTCAAGCCGACACGTAAATTTATCCTAGGGTCCTACTTACATCAATAGCAAATGGTTAACTGACTAGTTAACAATAGTTTATTCAGAATATTAAACTGTAAGACATGACACTATAGTTCAGAGACGACTTTTAAGAGATATCCATCTTATCACCATAAATTAGACTGTAAAACAACCAACTAAAATAGGACGAAACGCACATGCTGGATTCGATTGCTAGTCACCATTCATTTCTGCTTACAACTAAATTATATTACAGAAGCATTAAGGAAAATAAAGAAATGATCGCCAAATACATATATATTTTTAACTTACTGGAAATGGTTTATCACTTTCATAAATAATATGTCCATCAATATAATGAGTTAATATACGTCGATCATCAGGACCGATAATTACAGGTGGAGGAGGAAATTCAAAAGGCGTTATCGTTGATTTCAATTTAGAACATGTTGTACTACTAGCGTTAATGCTATTACTACTACCACTACTACTAACACAAGTTGTGCTTAATAATTTTGAATAATTTGCATTAATTGAATCTTTTTGATCACTACTATTATCAATATCATTATTTACTAGTAAAGTGCTATTGATCGGTGATTTCATTTGATTATTAACGACATCTTTTGCTGCTTCTTTGTCATCATATTTTCCAACTGATACCACTTTATTTTCATTTTGTAAAAGATCTGAGTTCTTGTATACCAATTTATTATTATTATCAGCATTTGAAGGTGAAAATGGTAGAGAAGTTGAAGAAACTGAACCATTTACATTGTGATTAAGATCAGGAGTTTTGGTTGCATCTAAGGCTACTGTTCGACAATCTGGGCTGATCGCAGAGGAAGTAGTAATCATTTGTGAAGGAGTAATTGTTGTATTTGATGTCATGCTGATGGTTGACAAAGTTGGCATTAGTTGCGTTGTCACTATGGTTGTCATTATTAAGGAACTGCTGATAAAAGTAGCACATGATGACGAAGGAAGCTTAGTTATATCATCATACTCTACTGAATCCTTTTGTTGGCTAAAAAAATCAATGGTAATAATAATATTAGTAAATAATAGTATTATTCACGAGATATAATGAAAACTAACCAGTTTATACCAATATTACTGTTTAATGTACAGATTATCATCTTATTTTAAAAACTGTAAGTAGGAATTTGTAATAGAATAGGAAATTGAAACAAGTACAAATTTGTGTACTTGACTATGAGAGACATTTCTAAGTCCAGGCTAGAGGTATACTTGCTACTGCTTAGTTGATCAAATTAAATTAGGGGGATGAGATTTAAACATTTTAGAACCAACTTGTTAAATGGTAAGTGTTTCGATACATTATACCGACTAGGATATTACAACTACTAACAATGTATCTGTTTCTGATTAGAACCCGTGTGAAAACCTATTTGTACACAAGAACATTCACATTTGAGTTTGGGAAATGATTAAAATATACACAATACACTTTCCAATAATTACTTCCTATCCAACAAAAATAGTCTGACTACATTTATTGCGTGACTTAAACATGCATTGTTGAAGTTAATAAAACAACACTTAACCACTGAGCCGACCGGCATCCAATGGTGTTAATTTCTAATCTCAACTAATCCACGAAATTGAGCAACACATCCACCATTGTCTTCAGTGAGTTACTATTTCACAACAGATCTGGTTGAACTCTACTGGTCACTGCTTTTCAATAAAACTCCAGGAAATACACCTTCTGATATTAATCAATATATGCTCACTAGTGACTGGCTTCAGGAAGTATTTCCTGAAGTTTTAGTGAGAAACAGTGACCAGTAGAGTTCAACCGGGTCTGCTGTAAGATAATAACTCACTGAAGACAATGGTGAATGTGTCGCTCAATTTCGTGGATTAGTTGAGGTTAGAAATTAACACCATTGGATGCCGGCCGGCTCAGTGGTCTAGAGGTTAAGTGTTCGCTCAGGAGACAGATAAGTCCCGGGTTCGAATCTCGCGAGGCGGTATCGTGGATGCACACTGCCGAGGCGTCACTGGGAGATAGATTAGATTAAGAACTTATCATTAAAATAATAATACACTAAGAAGATTTTAGATCATCTAGTTTTTTAATGAGTATTAATTTCTTTTCTGTACTAATCAATCCGAGTACATTTTTTCTAATTCACAATTTCTGCATAACCTTTATTGTTTCATGTTCGGCTGCTACCACTTTCAGTTTACTAATTTTACTTACTGTCACGAGATTATGTTTTGTTACTATTTGTGAAGATCAGTTCTACTTCAATTCGATTTTGTTAAATATCAAGTCTTTTCTGTAACTCATAAAATTTTTCTCAGGTTCTAGAGTTCCGGGATTATTGTTTAAGCGGTATGTGTTAGTTGCCGTATTATGAAGGTTGCAACAGATCCCAATTGTATTAGAATAATCTTGATCAATCGTAATTGAAAATTACCATAGACCTAAACCAAACTGATCTCAAGACATATCGTAATGAAACTTAATATGACTAGATAGATTTGGGTTGGAAAATGTTTGGGAAAGGTGAAAGTTTTAAAACTAATATATGATGAATTATTGTGTCTATACTACGTATTTATTAAATAGCCGGTTCATAGTATTTTCATATTATCCTATTTATAAGCTTTCATTTAACTTAATAACTAATGATGTTAAGCCTTCCCTAAGCTATTATTAATCAATTATGGACTTGTTCCTCAGTTTTTTATTACCTATGATATAGGTGTATGTCCGGATTTTGATTTCTTATTTACGTCAGATTAAGCTAAAGTATATGATCCTGTTAATTTATTAGTCTTATCTTATATATTTGTCTTCCGACCGAATACTGGGGATAAAAGGAAGTATGTCGGACCAATATTCAGAAACTTAGAAGAGAAAAGAAATCAAAAGTAACTTACATTTCTTTCGATAATTTAGAAGTAAATTCAATATCAGTAGAGATCTGATTACATAATTGTTCACTTTCAACAGATTGTTGTAACGTGTCGCTCCTGAAATTGAGTATTGTGGTAGTTGATGATTTTGTAAAAGGGGTCAATTTATCGTACGACTGAATTCAATGAAATGAGTGAAGAAAAAAACGAAAAACAATATTAAAAAAGATGGTATATTGTGTAATTTAACTCAATCACTAGGTGTACAAATGTGTATACTTAGCTTTGCAAGCCACACTTTGAGTGTGAAAACCAATGATACTGTTCGGTTGACCAGACCGATATCGGTGGGGAAAAGGTTCGAACATCTAACTTAGACGTTTGAAGTCGAATGCTTTTAGAACTGGGTCACCACCCCATAAACCACTTACACTAAACTAACACGGCCAGTTATTATTATTGTGAATGAAATGTGAACGGTAAATTTAATGATAATTATGAATGAGAAACAGTGAAATAATAACAAAGTCAATGAGTTAAACTTATAAAGAAACATCTTAGTAACAATGTTTACGTTCGTGTATATTACTACAAGTCAAAGTCGTAAACTGAAAGTTAATAATAAATGGAGGTCATGTAGCAACTTCAACTGATATATACTTATATCAAGTCCTAAGTTTATTATTATTATTTGAACACATATATTGGTACAAGGAGGCACCAAATACATATGCGCCACACAAATCTCATTTGATTTCTGTGAGGGCTGTGATACTACCCGGGTGCCCAAACTGAAGCAAATGGTTTTCTTAGGAAGCCATACCCGGAGCCTTCGACATGAAGGTCTAATCCACAAGGCAATGGAGCATCGTAAGGAGATGCAGTCTCATGGTAGCCAGTGACCAACAATAGGTTCATACGCTATTTGTTTCTTTAGAATTCTGGAGACCATGTGGAGCATTGGTTTGGAATGAGGGTTTTCCAACTCCCCTAGGTGGAGTCTCCGTGTCCACCAAACCGGTTGAAGGGCCAGACATTCACTTTTCGTCGTCCTCTCAATTTCGTAAACAACAGTAATGGCAAGAGAAGGCAGTGAGTAGGACTTCCCTGGCAGAGGCTATATACGCGTGGCCATGTGAGAGCATTTCGAGAGTGGATTATAAAGAGATAGTGGCTAAGTGGTTGAAAAGGGTCTTCGACTATTCGGTGTATGTTAAAAACTCATCATGTTTATTTCGGATACATAAGGGTTAGATTAGATTTTATAAGAAAGATCTGAGATCCATCGATACTTCTTCTAAACAAACGTCATTGTTAAAATGAAAGAGATAATCTGATTTCTAGGATATGACTGATATGGTTATCAAAAAAGTTGTCATAATTAAACGTTAAAGGCGTTATCAGTCAGTCACAACCATATCATACACTGACCACCTCCCCGCTCTTTCCAACCAGTGTCGGCAAATAATACACGACGTGGGATTCTCCAGGACGACATTCGTAGAACATATCAAAGCCACCGAAGTCGATGTTTCAAGATAGTGACACTAATTGAATTATCGTTAATATTAATATCATAAAGAATCAATCCATCCTTTTCTATATTATGTAATATTTCAAGTTGATTGAGTTTATAGATGACTTTTCGGTAAATTTGATAGTACAACAAACCTTAGTTTATCCGAGAAAGGGATGATATGATGAATGTGATCAAGACACATAAAACAAGGAAAATAATTCTATTGATAAACTTTTAGCAAGTTAAGAAAAAGAGAAAAATATTTATGCGTAAACAAAGGTAAGACAAGACAAAACAACCAATTAAATTTTAGGTAAAAGGAGATAGAGGTAGACTAAAAAACAAATAAATAAATATAGGCATATGATGGGATGTAAGCAACTGATCGAGAGAGAGGAAAACAGTTAGTGAAAAATACAAATACACATAGAGAATAATGTTCAGAAGGAAGAATACGATATGGGGGATGATTTAAACTTTTGTCAATACACATACAATTGAAAAACGGACAATGCGAATTCTTTATATTCTTATAGTAGTAATGAACCGATGGATGTTTTGAAATTGTTTGCAGTGGAAAATTTGGTAACACGGGATATTATTTTTCGGTTGTTGTTATTAACCAAAAACAAGAATTAATCAGTCTCTATCGATAATAACTAATTAGACTCACTAAGTTAGTGGATAATATGTTGAGTTTGGAAGTCATAGGTACTGAGTTAAAGTTTGGAGAACGTACATCTAAAGAGTTGGGTCGTCAATAGGATATATTGAGCATCTTATATTATAACAGTTGGATTCAAGAGTCAATCTAAGCTAAACCACTATCGAAAACCTGAAAGCCCTAGATTTAGATTACACTGTGAAATGCGATTCAAATCTACTGAAGAATATATGATATCAGTTTATGATAAAAATGACTTCCAAATTATAGAAATAAATAATCGACAAAATCACCTTAGTAAGCACTAACCGAGTGCTTACGTACAGACTAGTGATACATTTTTCAAAGTTCTAATACAAAGCTGTAACCTGACGATTCAACGAAGTTTAAAGTAGGATAGTGTTTAGCCAATAATATTGGATTAAGATCGAGCTGTAGTAAGAAAGAAATAAACAACTAAAAAAACTAATATCCAAGATATCAAAAGCAGAATGGATGCATTCAAATAAAATGTTTTGTCAGGCAATATTGATAGTGTGACCATTTCAACAACTCTGGTAATTTTTGTCTTGCTATTTACAACTCCCTGTAGTGATATGATGTAGCAACTTGAACTCAATGCACATATTTGCTGAGTTCGACGTTATATGTAACTGACTGACTGAGTGAATGACTGTTAGAAAGGCAAACTGATTGAATCGGGTTCAAATCTCACAGGGTGTATCAATGCTCTCCAGGTTTCAAATACACCTTATTGACAAGTCCCCACTAGCATGAAACCTGATGGGGTCTGAGGGATTCATGTAGACCATTACTTCCAGCCACCTAGCATCACAAGATTTCATGATATATTTCAGTTTTCGTGAGATGAGTAGATATATAATGTCGTTAACCGTTTGAATCTCATTTAACATTATTATGCAAAGTGATTACTAACATTTATTAACGACTAAAAAGTCACAAAAAAGACTTACCTGCATAGTGTCTGATTGTTTCAATTCATTGTCACATGTTGTTAGAGAATCACTATTAATATTAATAATATCATCAACATCATTATCGACACTGCTATCATTATTATTATTATCATTGTCATTACTATTATTAACATTTGCACAAAGTTGTGAATCAGATACCGTTGGAATATTTGTATCCTCACCAGTAGAATTCACCACAGCAGAATTATTACTCTCATCATTCATGGAATTAGTATGGTTTAGAAAAGGACTTTGAATCACATTTGTAATTGGTTTAATACCATTTTGTGCGAATAATCGACGGCGACGACGTATAGCTGGTAGGACAGTTGCCGAGGAATTAAGTGGGACTATATTATTTTTGTTATGATTACCATTATTACTATTATTATCTAACGTAGAGGTGATACTAGTAGTGATAGTAGTATTTATTGTAGTAAACGTACTGTTAATTGACGAATTAATTGGTACCTAGAAAAAGAAAAGATAAACGAAAATAAAAATCAAATAAACGATTTCCTGCTAAACATGATGAAACCATTAAGATAAATTATTTTTTCTAAAAAGAAATAGTTTACAAACATATGATAATTAAAATATTGTACAATATTGTCAACACTAAGCAGCAGTCAAATTATTTGTAAAGTATGGATTCATCTATCTGACTTAGGACTAGTGGTACTACTAGTACTACTAGGCTGCCTAAACTGAAGTACGTGGAGAGGGGTTTGAATCTGAGACTTAGTGGTTGAAATTTGGACGCCATAACCACAAAGCCAATGCTTGAAAACAACATTAAGTAAGTAGAAGATAGTGATTAAATTACTTCTAATTCAGTCAACTAGGTTGTAGGTTCAAACCCCGCTATTGCTTACTTGATTTAATACAGACAACTCGATAGTGACTGTAGATTACAGATAAACAATGCGATGCAAAATTGAGCATATACACCTATAACTGATGTCAGTGAGTTGTATGAACATTAGGAAATGTAATGAAATTATTACATTGATATATTTAACACTGTATTATACAGTAAATTATGAGGAAAATAAACTTCTGAAGCAAGAACATAATAGTGTTTTCTATTTCAAGTTACAATTATTGTGTAAGGCATAAATATGGACACATCTAGATATGAAACAGTAAATCGATTGTACGAATCATGACTTGGAAAAATTCGAGTAACATAACTGATTATAATTCACTAAAAATGTTAAATGATCATAAGCAGTTCTACAGGAAAAACTTCAATATGAATTCGTACCTGTCACAACTGATTCTAACAAGAGGCAGCTTAATTAAATAGTAACATATTAATTTCTTATTAACCGATGACCTAGAAGTTTCCCATACTTTAAATTTCTGTTCATACTATTACATAGTTTAAATAATTTAATTGAATAGTTCATAATACTATTACTAATTTTTATATCTTTCCTGTTACAATTCAAGTAGGATTTTTTGAGATTCTTTCAAGATGTTGTGAGATAAATGGTACACAAAAAGAAATAATTCATTGGTTTTTCACTCAACAATACACATACACAGAGTGATATTGCTTTTAAAATAAGCAAACATTGTATACAATAACGACTAACGTAATTTTACAATATTTAGATAAAAATTCTTTTATGATGAACTTGTTAGAAGACTACTACAGTAAGTGATTCCCTGGCTCAGAGATATAAAAGTTATAATAATGAAAATAACAGTGACAATTAAAAGTGCAGTATTTATTTGTTCATTTATTCGTTAACTTATCCTACAAGGTACAAATACTTATGTACTTGACTTTGAGTCAAATTTAAAGTGTGAGAGAGGAGGGCAACTGAAATTACCCAGTTACGCAAACCGAAGTAAATGGGAAGAGAGAAAAAGAAACCATTAATACACCAATCTATTGTGAACAATTTACGTAATAAATAATAATACATTAATGAATTTTCTAATTTAAATACATCAAGTATATATTAGTTATCAAGCAAAAAGAAAGAGAGAACTATTAAAATATGCTACACTGTAACTCAATTAAGGTGAAAATTAATATGCAATTTACTTGAGAACCAAAAAGCAAATTCTAAATATAGACAGTTATCAAGTTGATTAGTTCAATATAGCAAATTAAAAAAGTGGTATAGAAGTAATTAGTCTTAATATATATGCTATTTACCACAATCCATTGATGTGATTAGTTTGTATGGAAGTTAATACTAACTAATACAATCAAAATCACAAACTGTGATTGATAGAGTTCAGTTATCTACCGCAAGTAACTGGAGATGGTCGTGTAATATCGTGAATTAATCGGAGTTAGATATTAACAACATCAAATGCTGACTAGAGCCTAAGCATTTATGCACAACAATGAAGTTTCCCGGTTCGATTACTTGTGGCGGGGTCGTAGAAGAATCCGATATGGCTTAGATCAGCAGATTATAATTCTATGAATTGATGCTGTTATTATTATTATTTTCACTATTTAAGAGTGACATGACGTTTTTATCTGGCTGTTATATCCGGTGAAGATTAAATTACAGGTAACTTCCAAGGACTATTCATGGACTAATATTCTATAAATATTCTTATTGCATAACTACTCAACAATTACACTATGTATATTTATATTCCTCTTATTATAAGCTTTATTTTGACCTATATTTTATTATTGTACGATCTACGGTTCTTAAGTTATGCTCAGTCTATTAATTACTGTCCCCCTCATTCACAGCCACTTTTTGGCTTATTTGTGTACAAATATTATTTCCTATTTTATGGTACGTTGTGGTCTGTCTGATTGATATATAAACCAAGTATGCCTGAAATAAACGATCTGGTCTGATCTGCTCTGATTCGATTCATATTACGGAAGCTGGTATCTTGTTCTGGACTCAAGTGGAGGGGTTAGGAGGACATAGGACCAATAAGGACGCTAAACTACTCATACCGGTTGAATGTCATTGGTTTGACATAGTGCGAAGATTGTGTAAGCCGGATCCTGATTGATTGATAAGTCGCGTGATAGGAAAGTCAGACATCCGAGGTCATAACACTGGCCGCTACTTATTTTCTTTCTATCTATTTCTACATTGTATATGAATTTAACACGGTAGTTACAAAAAGCATTATGCAATAAAGGTAATTAAGTGAAGTTCATTAAAATGTGACTATTAAAGTATTAAGTAGAATTTAACACGATATTTGCAATTTGCATTTTGAAAATATGGAGTTCGCATAAATACTGTTGAGTTTACATACCCTATTAATTGTTACTTTATATAAACATATAACTCATTGATTAAAGTTTACATACAAACGTGCAACAAAGAACCAATTAACAATAAGAGGTCAACTACTTGATTCCATACATCTAAGAATTAGTTGTACCATTGGTTATATTGAATCTATTAAGCACCTACTACTGCAATAATATTATGAATATGCTTTTCCTAAACAACGGTTTACTTTCGTATAGCTTTTTAAAAAATAATATATTTCCTTTTCCATGGTGGTACAATAAGTAAAATCAAACACGACAGAATATCTAATGAAAAGTTTTCACGGTTTGTTTTTCATTTGATTCAACTAAGGCGAATAGGGTGGTATAGATGTAGATTAATAGGGAAAACAGATATGAAGGGATTGTTTGAAACGTTAATTATGCATAGTATTTGTGAATATTCTAGAAAGGTAAATCTAAGAGCCCATCCTAGGAATAGGAAATTCACGTCACTAAGTAATTAGAAAAACTGGATTAATTAGGAATAGGATTAGTACAAGTAGACTTAATTCGACTTCACGTTATCTGCATTTGTATCTATCACATTACATGTATACACTAAAACACATGCATCAGAACAACAGAAATAAAGGATTCCCAATTGCATTTACGAGTCTACCTCATAAAATTTGAGACGAAAATCAAAACATAGATTTAACACTGTAATAGCTTATTACTTGGTTGATGGTCATCATCCTGTTGGTATCTATCCATAACCTATCAAAATAAAGCAATCACCAGACGACAAGCTAATCGTGCCTCCAGGAGTTAGGACAACTGAACCTACATATGTAAGAGGACCATGTTGTTAGCTTGGTGAATTCAGTTCTGAACATTCAATTGTGTAATATTTTATTCAACAAACTGTACTTCTTAAGGTCTGTTGGTTTTAGTTTATTTATAACTTTAACAATGATCATTAATTCATAGAGAGAGCATCAATGATAGTGCAAGTAAACTGAAATGAAAAGTCACTGATTAAAATAACCAGTAAAATTATTTATAACACACTTAAAATTCTAATTTCATTAAACAAGATGACATACATGAGTTAATGGATTTATGGTAATAGTGGTAGTAGTAGTAGTAGTAGTAGCAGTCCCACCATTAATATTTTCAGGATTATTTAAAACACCACTATTGTCTGTATTGACATCGTTCATTTTACTTCGATCATTTAAACTATTATTACTAACAGATTGTAAATAATCTGTTTGATGAGTTGAATTGGTGGCTTGAACAATAGATGTTGGATTTATTAGATCGTTTGAACTAGCATACGGCCAATAAGTTGATAAACAAGTACCACTATTACCGCCAAGACTATTTCCATTAATATTTAAAGATGATTTTGTGTCACAAGTAGAAGTTAAATCAGTTGGTAAACTAGATGAGATAAATGTATTAGTTAAACAATTATCATTGGTTTGAAATAGATTTGGAAATGTAGGGAACTAAAAAAAGAAAGAAAAAAAAGAAATGAAATGGATTATAAAACACGATAAATATTTTTGATAGAAAATATACGACTGACTAAATATAGAGTAACTAGTGTTGAAGTAATGTAATACATGGATTACGATAGTGTAGTAAACGGAAAATCAAGTACGGTAAACCAATTTACTATTTTTGTGCAAAATCACACATTGTCTTTGTAAAATATGAAAATCATACATTAAATACACCATTTGCATATCTTCCTTTAGTTGTCCTTTACATACTTCATCTTTCTTCAGATTGCTCTTCGTCTTCTCTTTATTTCACTTGTTTGCTGATAAGGATTGTACTCCCAGTTTCTGCTACATACTACTTATAAATGTCCGCGTATGTAGCGCACATCACAATAGGATATCTGTTATTAAAGACATTGAGTAACAAGGCTTAGAGTTGAACATAATGATGTAGATGCATTTATTTTTTATCTTTTCTTAGATTTCGAGCTAAGTATTTCTTTATACCTTTATTTATTCCGAATGTTTAGTGTTTCTCATTATCTATGTTACAACATTATTTCAACCGAGTTAATATGTACATCTTGCCGTGCTAGTGTGGTATGGGGAACTTGAATCAACGTATATTTGTCCCAGGCTCTATTTTCTTTATAACTAACCGACTGAATGAGTTTACAACTCAAAAATTACAACTTGCACAACAGAAATCAGTTTTTAAAAAAGCATAACCAGGGAAAAATACACTGGATGCGATTATGGTGTTTGGTTAAAAGTTATCCAGACGCAGAAATATAAGGATATTTAAAGTTTAAAAATAACAAAAAACAAAATCTTCAATGCCCAGGTACTTTTTCTCCAAGGTAAGATATTGCGTTGAATTTATCTTACTAAAATTTTACGTTTAATTAAAACAGTCACGGTGTTTGTAAGTGTTTCGAGAGTGGATGACAATTTTTAGTATTCGTTTAAGTTATCTAAAGAATCTGATAGTGGTTATTTTATTTAACTATATAGATAAAGTGAACGGATCCTGTTTAAACATTTCCTTTGATAAATCAAGTTGGGTTCAAATCATTCTGAAGTTAAAAAACATGCCTCAGGTACGGGATCAAGGATCATTATTTTGTTAGAATGTAACAGGAAGATGTAAACATTTAATAAAATTAAAGCTTGATCAATCCAATAGACAAGATAAACTGTAAAAAACTAATCAACAGCATTTTCTAACTAACAGTGTGAACAGACTATATTAGGTCACCTCACACGTGGTATGGTGTTGAGTACTATAGTTAGGTCTGTATAACAATTGAATTTCTATTATTTGATAAACCTCGAAGTATTCAGAAAAAGAATTTATGTGCATCAATAGGTTATTAAGTGTATAGTTTGAATACTTAAATGATTAGTTATTAGCTTTGAAATCAATTAAATATACTCAAAATGCTTTCACTATTTTATATAATCGGCTTAAAGATTGATAACTAACCAGTACTGAATTGGTCAGTCATAATCAATCTATAGTTTAACATAAACAGGCGTTAGCTCAAATTCTCATGTTTTACCTTGAGACAAAGAGATGAAATTAATAACATGAATAACAAAGGGATCAAAACAATCGTATTATCAATGATAATAAATAAGAATAAACATGGGAAATATGATTCAAAACAACAAGATGAAAAGGTATAGATAAAGAAATATTTACAGCTTGAGATCAAGAGTGATTGTTTTTGCACTACTGTGACTGATTCTGAACCAAGTTACCAAAAGTTTCTAACCACTGATTGCTGTTATACCGTAGACTTCAACAAACAAGTCTGCATCTAACAGGAAAGCTTATACGAATGGTCAATAAATTCATGAACTAACACCAGTATTAAATGGATGCTTTGTATTTATATTAATCGTCAATAATTTAGACAAACATGATATCTCTTTAATGATACAATGGAAGATTTTAGTATTTTACGACGACAAAAGGAAGTAATCATTACTAAATCGACGATTTATATACTTTGATTGTCGTGAATTCCAGACTTCAACAAATAGTACTATACTTTTGCCGTAGTATTACATACATCGTTGACTGATTCAGCGCCACATTTATTTTATAAAGGCTAACGATATTGTCTAGCCACTCCAACTAAATTGGTTTGTGTATAGGTTATCTAATGGTGTAGTAGTGAAACTATTGGGCTAAAGCTCCACGATTTTAAGTAGAAACCAAATATTCTAGCATAAAATTCCGAAATTCACCTAATGGACGATCTACTGTTTTTGCTTACTAATTATGATGGGGATTACCTTTATTATTTTGTAGAGCTTTAATAATTTAGGTATGTAATGTTGACAAGCCACATTCAATCGGGTGGTTAATTACACATTCGACTTACTTGACAAGGCGGAAACAATTGTCCCGGATTTGGAGCGAAATTACTTGAAATGAAAGAAGTACCATGTGGCGGTCCAGATTGAAACATGAAATTTGTTTCGTTTGAGTTATGGATATTTGGAAAGTTCGTAACTGCAGCGGGAACTAAGGAAGTAGCCATTTGTGGTGCAGTTGCATTCACCAAATTTGTACCAGCCGCTAAGGCAGTTGAATATGGATAGGACACTGGACCAGAATGCGTAGATGATGTTGGGAAAAAATTTTGGTTGGGCGGATGTAAAAGAGTTGGATAAATTGATGTGAAGGATGATGAACTAGGGTTATTTATAGCACTTATGAGAGCGATCGATGTAGGTGGGGTTAAAACAGAATGTCCTAAACCCATAGGATTTTGTGGGTCAATGAGTAGATCAGGTATAGTGGGAGGCTGAGGGAAAATGGTTGACGGATAATTTTGTGGTTGTAAAAAATTGAATGTTGCCCCACCGACTCCCGCAGTTCCTGATAATCCAGGTAGCAAGTGTGTTGATCCTTGAGGAAACTGGAAGCTGTTTGCGCCCGCAACTGGCCCAGTAGGATGTAGCACATAACTAGGAGTACCTAGTAAACAAAGGGAAATACTTATGGTAAGCATACTGTTAATTAGTAATCGACTATAAGGTGGACACAGTGTAGTCCCTATAAACAACCGAATTCCCTTCCAGTTGTTATTTGTACCCACACATTGCAAATATATACAATTTCGGTTGACGCAATATAACCGATATTTTATGTCAAATGGATACCTAGACTACAAAACGTTTAGATGCTGGTTGAAAGAAATTAATAATAATAATAATATTGTGATAGACCCATGCATAACTAAACACAGTAAAATCGTGGGTTATTTAAACTAAAACAGTTTATAAGTATACCCGATATATCCTTCCTTTAATTAAGATCTTTAGGTTCTTATATTTCTTGAGTAGGAACTAGTTTAGTTCTGTTTTCTGAAATTAGCTAGCGACCCACCAGTTAAATAAATGGGGTTACTAACTTGTGGCACAATACTGATCACTTGTCGGAAAGAGTAAAAACACAACTTTAACTTACTGAGTTGTGTGTTCGATATAACTTCAGAATTAACGTCATCTTATGTTGACACAACCCTTACGTTCTAAAAAGTTCCTTCAGTCAAATATAAACTATCCCAACTTCAACAGAAGAAAAGATATTCTAATCCAAGATATAATGATTAAAAGTCAAGTAACAAAACTAAAGGGAAAGAAATTTTTCTGATGATTGAAATAATGGCTAATTCAGGTCAGTAATCAGGTAAGAATTTATAGGTCGTGCTTCAAACTATACATATTGTCACATGACTGTTTATCATCTCAAAAGAGAAGAATTACAGTTCGAATTCGTAACACACTATTTGGAATCAAATTTGGCTAACAAGTTCTTATATCAAAATGACATGACTAATTACGCAGATAGAATACAAAGAATAGTATAAAGGGACAACAGAAACGAAAAAGATATATATATATATATATATATATATATATATATATATATAAAGTTATGAAAGAAACTGGGATCGATAATTCACCAACATGTAGATTAATTCTAATCAACAGCAATATGATATATCACAACGAAAGTTCAGGAGATTAGCTCGTTTACTGACTTGATGCATGTAGATATACATATATCCTTAAACAATAAAGATACACCAAAAATATATAGTTTCTTATCATAACCTACCCATAAATTGTGGCATGGGGGTCATGTTGAAAATTTGAAGCGGAGGGCATGGTGCAGTTGGTGTACCAGCAATTGGTATAGCCTGGTTGTGATTTATAACATTTCTTAAACCGGTAGATGTTGCAGAAACTGGCATTGTGACAGGCATATTACCGACAAAAGGCATAAAGTGTACGGTAGATTGAGATTGTAATGATGAAAGAGAAGTTTGTGTGGTGAGAGATGGAGCTGGTTGTGGACCAACAGACAACACTGGAAGTACTGACTGAGCGACCGTTGGACGTGTTCTAACATTGAATATACTTGGCATGCTGTGCGTAGTAATCACAGAAGAGTTAATAGTAGGAGCAATAGAAATTGTGACTGAAGTTGTGCCAATAGACGCAGGTTTGGTGATACTAACCGCAGGAAAGCTAAGTCTTTCATTTGTGCTACTTTGACTAGATTTCGGATTGTAAGATACAGATGATGTTGTAAAAACAATTTCATGCTTGCTAGGAAATATTGATGTAACAGCCTGAGGAGTGGCCTGGTTGCTTATAACCGTATTTGCCTGGGTATCTTGTGGAGCAGGTTTAATAGGTCTTAAAATTTCATTTCTGAATGTTATTGAAAAAATAGAGACTTAACTGACAATGATAAAAAGGTAAACATAGATAAACAACTGAATATTAACTATTTAAACAAGTTCTGATGTAAATAGACCATAATATATGACTTTATATATTACTAAAGCTACAATGGTACTCTACGTCTACAAGCAAGCAATATCTTACTAATAGCAAATGAGGAAACTGGAACTAAAACTGCTTTGTAGAAAGTCATGAAGTTAGTTGTGTAATGTTAATATAACTAATTTATCAAGTACAGATTTTTCGTACATGGCCTTGGACCATATGGTGTGAAGGGAAGTGACACTAACCACTCTCTAAACCAAAGTAATTGAGGTAGTATTCGAATCTATGACCTAATGATTAAAAGTCGAGTGCCCTAAACGCTAAGCCGCTGCAGCAGTTTTGCAAAGTGTATATATCTGTAACATTTATTTTGTTTTTGTGTCTAGTTTATATGATGAATCGATTGGTCCCAAAAACGTGTCGTTTACAAACGCTAGGAGTATACAAATAAAAACAATGAGATCGTATGGTGAGAAACATCGGAAACGATCCTGGATTATAAACAAAGATCACCGAGTTTGCCATTTTATACTGTGAAATAGATCGTAATTCCGTAGAAGCGATTCACGAAGAATAAATCACATATTCTACATTTGAATATCTATTAGTATCAAAAAAGTTAGAACATAACATGTCTGGGATTAAGTTTTAGAATATATTTGCAGCAATGGTTAGGTAGAGACTATATATAGTCAGTGGATATATGAATATTTGTGATGAGCACAACTCTAAAACCAGAGACTTGTAAACAAACATCTAATTTATATTATCACACTAAGTAGTATCTAACTACAGACCGCCCACAGTTGACACCAAACCATTTCGCCACAATTTAGTACAAATACAATCGTGTCGTTTAATAGCGCTATTGATCTCAGTGACTATCGACTATGTATGTACAAATGATCGATGAAACAAACTCAATATTTCCAATTATTTAATTAACTCAGCTAAATGATAAGAACTTACGAAAGGCTATAATCAGGCCCCACAGATGACATTCTTATAGGAGCCACAGTTGCTAAAGCAACAGGAGCACTAGTATGATGTCCCTCTGAAGAGCAATTTTTGTTGGAAACACTAGTAGATTGACAGTTTTGAACTGAAAGTGTAGATTGGCAAAACGAAGGTGGTGAAGACAAACATACAACGGCGGATGGCGTGTTGTGGATTACGACAAGTGACGTTTTACTTGCAGTTGTAACACTGGAGGTAGGGTCCTCTTTCTCTTCAGTTACTGAATCTAAAATACACATTAAATAAACATATCTCGACCTAAATATAACTAAAGGATTCATTCACAATACATCCAATATGCATATTATGGTAAAATACGGAAAACATTACAAGTAGAAGAATGTTAAGCGCATACGATATTGTGACAGGTATAGAAAAAACTTGAGCTGCTTTGATTTTGACGGAGTAACATCGAGCTAAAACATCTTTTATCATAATATCTAACCGGGTGATAAACCTAATACTTTGAATAGAAAGCTAAACGGATAACATGTACCTGTTTAAGTTGCCACAACTATCAACACAACGAGAAAATATAGCTGGAGGATAGTAAATAGTACAATGGCTTCAAAAATGTAATTTTAAATAAGGTTGTCAATCGACTTTAGAATGTGACCATAGAATAATATTTCTTGAAAATATAAAACGATACTTGGACGTTATGTATCTTTATTTGGTGACTGAAACCTTTACCTAATGAGTTAGAAGTGAACTGTAGAAGTAGGTAAAAATGCACAAGTACCTAATTTTTCGGCTTTGAAAAGTAACTTATTAGATATGTATGGTCTTGACTGATATTTTTTTGTTAAAGCTGGTAATATTACCAACTGAAGAAACCGAATTAGGTGGTGGGAGTTCAGGCCTTTTACTTATAGATTTAGAGTGTCTTGACTAATAAGCCATTGCTTCGATAAGCAAGTTATAAACTTGCGAAAAGTTTGTTGGAAATCAAGCATCTAAGCATGTGATCTATAGCACGCTATATTTCCTACTGGGAATAAACTTTTTATGAAGATGCAGAATACTCCAATACATACCAAAGTCTGATTCTCAATACTTAACAGTTTTGACTTACACTTCGAGCATACGGCTTTCCAGAATTACTGAAATTCGGGAGTAATAAAAAGTAGGAAAATATAAATGCAGCTACAATAAACTACTTTTAACGCTAAAACGTTTTCCGTCAAGGAACATTAGGAATGAATAATGGTGAGTCTCTAAGACGTATCGAATCTTTGGATATCTTCAGTAGCATTTAACATTACACTCACTATGTAAGTGTGGCGATGGCTTAGTGGTTACAGAGTTCAAGTTTGAACAACTAGACAATGGGTTCGAACCGCTACGGTCTTGAGAACCGAGTAGTAACATCAGTACTCACACAATATGGTTCACAAACCCGATTACATAAGCCTGTACTAGACAAAAAAGTCTTCTGACGCATGAATGCTTTCACTATGATGTGGATTATACAGAACATATCAGCCAGATGTGTCTACAACAAGACTGTTCTTCACAAGTGAGATTATGTGATTAACATGACTTTGGGGCGTTATCAAATACTAATATACACACGACAGTATTCGTCGCACTGTTCACTTACGAGATATAGTGCATACGGGGTTGTTCGTACTGAGAATTGTCTTTTTTGAAGACTCATTGAGTAATACTTCATCAGATTCTTGAGTATCGACGGTTAATGGTCGATCTTCGAGGTCCACGTCATCTTCATCTTCCGCCTCGAGATCACATGTAGACATTTTCGATTTAGATTGTAAATAATATTCCCCAGTTATAGATTCCTTACCATCCCTACTAGCGTGGTGGTTAGAAGTAGGTGAGCTCGATTCTTTTCTAGTTGATATGTGAGTGTTTTCAAGATCAATTGACCTAGGTAGATGATTTTCCGATGAAAGAGTATTTGATAAACTATCACTTTTGTCATCTGCAGATGTCACGGCCTAAAATATACGAATATTAAGTTTGTAAAACTAATAGTAAAAGAGTGAGCAAATAAAAAGTGAAATTCGAATGCATTTAAAATATCATACTTGGAGGAATAGGAAGTTTTGCTTATTTCACCAATTAAATTAACTCATTTACGAAACTGAACGGAAAAACGAATATATATATATATATATATATATATATATATATATATATATATATATATATGAAACAAGCATGTGGCTAGAAACTAGATAGGCTTCTGAAAAATGCGATTCCCTGCAAACGAGTGATGAGAAACCATACATAAGTTTTGATATGAACATGCGTTTCTGAAAAGACTTAGATAATGTATTACGGATCTTAGGTTAATCACATAGCCAAGCGCTTACACTATAACTTAGTTAATGTTACATTTACCAACTCATTGTATTATCGTCTAGAACGATTAGAAAAATAAGTGTTGAAACCAAACTGTGACTAACTTTTATGACCATCACACTGTTTTCTGCATACGCAAAAATCAAGTGTCCTCATGTAGTTGTCATTATGTTCATTTATTAGTCTGTTCACTCCCATGAAGCAAAGTTCATTGGCAATGACCAAAACTCACTGACATTTGAAAAGAAACACACTTAAAGGATTTACGGGAATGAAATGAACACAGTTACAAATATTAACTTGAGATAACTGATAAATGTTGACTAATCAACTAATCTGTTTACTTAATTCAGAGTTGTTTGCAGGATTAACTCATACTTTGAAAACTATTTGTCGTCAACTCCATATGAACAGGAAACGACTATCAAAGTAGCATTAGAACCAGAGACAGTAAAAAGACAAGACATTAACAGTACGATTCGAAAGGGGAGAATTCGCACAATCAGTGGCACGATTGGGTGTCATACACATCCCAAACACTTTGCTTGATAAAGGTTTAGTCTCATCGGCCGATTACGGAACCTCAACGGGTACCCGACCCTGCTCCAATATAAACGAATAACACTTTAAAAGCACCCATGAACAGCCACTATTATCCTACAAATATACTTTCGTTCCAAAGGTATTATCCCAGATAAAAGACAATATAGAAAATTCATAGAATCTATACCGGTCGTCTATCCTTCAAGTACAGCTATGGAGGCAATAAGGTTATGCATCTGTGACAACGAAAGTGGAAGGCTCGTCGATTTTAATGGGCGAAATATTAGGACCAATGTGCTAGAATGTTTTATCATATGGAGGGACTTGAGGAGAGCAAAGATGGAATTAATAACGCCGGTGTATAATGTATTTGTCCACATATATAGTACAATATGAAAACTCAGTGTTCAGGAATTCATTACTTCTTTGTATTTTTATTTTATTTTAATAGACACAAAAACGTACTGGTAAAGGAGATTCAGACTTTAAGTCGTGAAACGAAATTGACGAGGAGCCAGATTTAGTTGGGCAGATTCCCTCGACTTTACAGCTACCACCCGAGTTTTCTTGCAAAGTTAAATTTGATTTACCACCAGAGAGTTCGGTAGATTCATGAGTTTCAGTAACCTTTATTGTGAGAAAGGAAGTATCGATTGCTTACTTTTGTTTTGGAATTTATAAGTTCTACCAAACACACAGGAGGTGAGTCGTCTTCGCTACGATCCACTGATCTTGTGAATACACAACTGTTCATCTCATCCTGCATTTAAAACTAATTAAAAATAATAAGACAAGATTACCATCATCTAGAATACAGGATATTCGACACCATATGAAAGGCCCAAGGTCGCTTATACAACCACTAGGTCAAAAGAAAACAATTGACGAATCCAAACAAAAGCAATCCTCAAATTCTATTGAACAGAAAGGTCAGTTGACTCAGATCTGCATTTGAGTTATAAGAGACAGTTAACAATGTATAAAGAAATTTGATGCCAAGTGTATTAGATAATTTTTGTAACCGCAATAAAATACAATTTCTTCCCATTTTGTGTGACTTTACATAAGTAATCAAATTCATACTGAATATTTGTTATTTGTTTGTACCACGGGTGGATATGCTTCACTCGCCAAACATTTATTACTTCTACTATCTTTCTAGCGACAACTAATGCATAAGTCTAGTGTTGATGTAGTCAGTAGTTATTTGAACGCCTATAGGGCTTCTCGTTCGGGATACGTCAGGCTCATCAGATCTGTAGTGACCTGAATAAGAGCTTAGTTGGAATAAGAAAACATTTTGCAGATCAATAACGTAGATGATCTATGTCGAGTGACTGGTGCATAGTCGAGTTAGACATAAATGGTGTGACCAACAACTAACTCCAAAGTCACACCTCGCGGTCAGCACCTAACGTGGATTACCCCTTCATCGTATCAAGATAGTATGTCTGCCTTGAGGACCATACGACACAAAGGACAATATTATAGAAATGTAGTTGTAAAAGTGGGCACAAGAGGGATGTTGCGACTACCACCACATGGGCCAGTACATGACATGTGATGGGTTGATGCTCATTGGTTGTCCTTGAACTTGACAAGGAACGTTGAACTATTCGACATCCAGTGGCCCGAATGCAAAATGCTTTGACTGGGACCCAGTGACCCTAAAGTGTAAAACGAATAGAAGTAAGCAAACACTGAATGGCAATATGAAATAAGTTTTCTTGAATGGAAAATGGAGCATCTTTGAAGTTACTTCTGGGTCTGACTTTAGTGTTTCAGCTGGTATATTGTCAGATTCCTCTGCTCTACCGCTCTTGGTTCGTCTGATGACCATCCTGATATCTTCAATCATTGGTGGAGTGACATCCATAGGAAGGTCTATAGATTCTGCCTCCATGTCTGGTGGATTTAATGGAGTTGGTCCATTCAAAGATTTCTCAAAGTGTTCTACCCACCCGTTTCTCTGTTTCCCGATCTCAGTCATTGGCTTACCTTCCTTGTTTTTGACCAGTCTCTGATTTACTCCATTTCTTTGACAGCTTCTTTATGTCATATCGTTGTCTCATATTTTGTCTTGAAGCTTCCTCCGCTGTCGTTGCTAACCCTTCCACGTAATTCTGCTTGTTGGTCTTAATACTGCTTTTCATTTGCTTGTTTGCTTCTGTGTATTCAGCTTGTCTCTTTACTTTCTCTTCTCTTGTTCGCCTGTTGTTAGTTGCTGTTTTCTTGTTCTTCCTTTCTCGATTTTTTGTCCGGGGTTTTGATAGTGATCCGTACCTTATGATGATGGTTGTTGCGGTCCAAAACCTCCTGACATGTTAAAGCTAGTGGTTCTTTGGTCCTTTTTAAGTTCTCCTCCATAGTAGTTTCTTCTTTTTTGATTAGATTTTGTAGGGCTTGAAACCTGTTGTTGAGAGTTATCTTGGATTGATTGAGTTTTTCAGTATGTTGAAGGAAGGATATACTGAACCTTGGTAATGCTGTCTCCCCAGCTGTCCAGTGTTTCTTCAGCTTCAGCTTCATCTTGGCAACCACCAGTTGGTAGTGATTTGAAGCTACGTCAGCTTTTCTCCTCATTCTCACGTCTGTCATGATCTTTCTGAGTTTTTTATTGGTGCGAACATGATCGGTTTGATTCTATGTAGTGTGATCCGGTGAGACCCGTGTAGCTTTATGTATGCGTTCGTGGGATAATATAATGCCACCTATGACCATTTTGATTAAGGCACATAGATGTGAAAATGGGCATTTCCAAACTGTTAAACAGTTTTGATTTAAAATCGTGGTAGTTGCTGATCCAATGCTTTCAACCTAATAACCGACGAACTAGCATACAGACTGGAAAATACACTCGCCATGCGATGACGTCGTATCCTCTGAGTTTGTCGGATCACATTATTTATTCGTATCACATCTTTTCTGTCTTTTTCTAGAGCCTGTTTAACAGTCACTGAAATTCTTCCTTATGGTTATATTTAACAGAAAACTGTAATCCGATATCGGGGACTTTGTAGAAAGCCTTGCTGAGAATAAAGTTCAGTCCATATCAGCCCATAGTCTACCAATGATAAACCAACGATCTCGTTCTGTCAAAACGTTGTCATGTTTAGGGACCACACCTTCCTTAACCTACGGAGGATTAGTTCAGAAGCCCACTTACTACCTTTGCAGAGTCTTGACGACTACGACATTTATCATGGATACCGGTCTTCAGGGCGAGGCGTACTACATCAAGATTACGATTAAATGGTAGCTTCACCTATGCTTAGATAGGTTGAGAGATACTATTACTTATTTCTACAACTAAAGAACTTTCAAAATATGAATCTTTCTCCCTAAATCTCACGTAGCTTGTAGATCATGTCGAACACCCACCCAAATACGTATTTTATTATTTTAAAACAATTTTTAAACCTCAGTAATCGAGACAATTTAATATTGTAGTGTCGGTTACCATGTCAAATACACAGCTTATTCTAACATCCAAACAGGCCAATTTATTCATTCTTCTGAAGCCACATTTTTACACTGGCACTTACTCGCTTATCAACCTTGACTTTTTGTGTAAGCGTATGTGTGCTCATTTCTTATCTTAGTCATCACATGTTTGTGACTTATTTTGTCTGACTATAAATATCGATTGACGCTTGGTTAAATCAAGTTGACTTATATGTCTTCCTCATTGCGCTTCATTCTGTTTTGCTTCTCTTCTCGATCAACGTTTGTACAAAATATACTTATTCAAAAATCCATTCTCTAATTTGACCTATTTAATTTTACTATTTATTAGCGCGAGTTAAGTCGATAATGTATATTCCAATAAAAATTCAGAAACGATTCCGTTTGTAGTTGAACTTAGGAGTTTCAAGCATTCTATGAAGGCACTATCAGGTCTTAGTTCCCAACAGATTTCCCTACACATGATGTGCAGGTGTGTTTCATTTCAGATTTTTTATTCTTCCTTCGTCAGGAATTGAACGTTCCATAAAAATATGCTGTAGTGTGCAACATTTATCAACGGCAATCGATAAGAAAGGGTTAAAAATGATGCACGTTTCGGACTTCAAAAACGTCGTATATAACCTCAACCGTGTGAATAACCACATCACCGGACACGGCAAGCTGTTAGAAGACTATTTACTAACTGAAAACCAGTGGGTTTTGATTTCTGTCTGATAACGTCTGGTGATGAACTGTACCTGACTCCAGATGGGACAGCGAAATATATTGGTAAGTAACTCTGGTCCTAACTCCGCCTGGCACTCCTCTGGGGCTACTGCCGGTCCCAATCCCGGATAACCAAGGGGGGGTTGGGCATGGCCTTAGCTACATCATCCCGTAGAAAACTAACTAAAAAAACGCTAACCATAAACTATTCAACTCTGGCCCTGACCGTCTGTAGAGGCCGAAGGCTACATGCCAGACATCGTAAGTGTCACAAGATAGATCGATTCGGAGAGCTTCTTCCGATGAAAATAGTCAGTGTACTAGTCTCGTTTTGCTGTACTCCTGCATATGGTCGAGTGCGCTTTTATCTCAACCACTATTGCTTTCTGTGTCTATCTGTAAGGCATCTGACTTAATCGAAGTTACCTCCATAATATTGCTGAGAGAAACTAAAGAGCTCATCACCCAATTTTTCTAACTTTTCGAGTACTGGTTAGGGTTTTTGTTTAGAGGATGGTGTCGACAGGCTTACATGAGCAGGACATAACCGCTGTAAAGAAAACCCGGTTGGCTCTGTCCGTATAAGATAGTGAACATGGCTTCTAGGGTTTAAAAACAGCGGTTAAGAATAGAGTGTAAATGGCAGCATAGTATCTCTTCTGCCGGGTTACATATGATAATCAGAAATATTCAGATTTGTTTGTCACTTAAGAATCTCAGTAATGATGCAATATAAGGCAAGTAAAACTAGATGAGCACAACTGGACGTATGATATTTGGAATTCGTAGTATATGCGCAATCAAGTATAAAAGAATAATCAATTAACATAAATATCACATCATCATATACCAAATGTAGAAATGATAAGGCGGTCTGCTGTCACACAAAATACTCTGATAGTTTGAATTATCTGAATTATAGTACAAACTGGGAATCTGTTGGGGTGATGCAGAAATCGCTTGCAAAAGACAAGCAAGCATCAAGAAACACTAAAAAGTGTTTCGTCCAATCAGCGTTCATTTGGAGTCTTGGCCACAAATATCAAGGTAGCGAAACGTCACATGCTCAAGCTCTGATTGGTTGGCTGCTACAGTGCTACTATGTTTAGTAGCATTCCAGAATATTCCAGCGGCCCAGGGACATTTAGATATGTTATAAAAACCTTATATTTTCTATAATAAAATGAACCTCGGAGTAAAGTATTTTCCCTCACGCTTGCGTCTTCTCTCTGGTGTTCAAGTCGCTGTGCAGTTCTAGCTTTCGGGGTACCAGAATAGCTTAGGAAACTAATATAACGTTCAATCGATAAGACTTATCAGTGGCGACGGGGATGAAAACTATAATGAGTATTTCCTTGCAGCAATTAGAAGCCTATATGGTGCGTCAAGAAAAGAGATTTGAAGAGTCCCAAATTAAAATCATGGAAACCCTGATGCAGAAATTCTGCTTGTCCGAGAGAAACCCTGCTTCTAGTGAATCACAAGTATCACATACTGATTCAGTCATTAAAGCCATCCTTGAATTTAATTTTGATGGTGTAGCAGGTATAACATTTGAGTTGTGGTTTAAGAAGTATGAACATTTGTTCTATATTGATCTTTGCAAACTGGATGATGCTTCAAAAGTCAAAATACTTCTGAGAAACTTGGGACTATGGAACATGAACGCTATAGCAATTTCATTCTGGCGAAGA